GGTTTATTGCTACAAGCAACCCCTCTTTTGACTGTACTTATGGGGGAAGTGGGGGGAAGATTCATGAGGGATTCACAAAATGCCGTAACGATTCGTTGTAGCGTCAAATTTGGAAAAGCAACGTGACACAGGTGGTGACAATTTGAGCCACAGGTCAACATGCATTATGCACACACAGTATTCTAAATCCCAATCTTCAACAATCTGTGCATCAAATCACCCGCTCCGAGCGCTGATTGAAACAAGATGGACGTAGTACTCGGAGGATGATTGAAAGATACATGGCAACAAATTATTAACAGGGATCCCTGCCAAAATGTAAAACCACTAAGGAAGGATCTTGAGTTTTACTGGGACGAATAAGACTTTTATGAGAAGTGATGGACAGATAAAGAGTTGAGCTTCACGACTCTGGTGTGGCCTACACGTCTGAATGGACACATAAAGTAAACAAATGAATGGGAGTGATAGAAGAGGAGGAAGAGGAGAATGGAAGAGAAAAAATAGAAGTGCTCTTGTTCCCTATTGCACATCTCTGCAGATGATCGCGTGGAATGCTGCTCCATCCATTTTAAGGGAACCGTGAAGCACACTGGGAGCTGCTGTGAGCGCAGAGACGATCGTTGGTTGGTTTACGATACGCTGCTGAGGGATTTATGCGGACTGTTTTCCTTGTCTCAAAGTCAGTGTTTTTTTTGGCTGGATGACTGAAATAAAGTTTGTGGTTAACACAACCTTAAGAACTTAAATAAACCATGCTGTAGTTTGTTTACAGCCAACCATAGATTTTTAATTGCTTTAGAAATGATAAAAGTGGTCTTAATTTGTGATGATTAACAAAAAATATCATTAACCCTTGTTAATAGACTTGCAATAATTCAAAAGCCAATGTAAAGGTCTGCATGTGTGTAACTTTCCCTCCTCTTCTGACAGACTGAAAGCACACACCAAACATTTCAATACAGCCAGAAGCTGTCTAGCAGTTTGAATATTTTTGGCATTTAAATCAGAGAACAAACCTCAAATTTAAACCTCAAGTCATATATTTGTTGGTTAAGATTCCAAGCTGGCAAAGTTGTAAATATTGCTGATCGTTAGCTCCTTCCCGTTAAAATGGTTTCTGTCTCTGGAGCAGCTGTCCGTAAAAAAAGAACAAATTTCTGAAAGTAAAACCTCAACCCGAGAGTGCCAATGGGTCCTAGGGGAGGGTTCTGGGATGGGGAACGTTGCCTTTGGGAGAAAAGGGGCGGTGTGATGGAGGGCAGGACGGACAGCACAGGGCTTGTAAAAGTTGTCTTGGGCTGATGTGGTTTCGCTGCACTTCACGGAGGCCGACGTTAACTGCTGCAGCGAGGTGGAGGGTCCGAGTCCGGGCTGTTCGTCCTGGACAGGAAGGAATGCAGAGAGAGATACAGAGACAGAGATTGCTGTTGGTGAGCCAGGTTCTGACTGCAGATGGGTGGGCTTCACAGTACGTGTGATAGTTGTACTGACCGCGTGTGTTCACGTGGCCGATGCCTGTGTCACCATAGTGGCAGAACCAGCATTACCTTCACAGTGTCTTTTACAATAGCTTTTGCATTGCACAGAAACACATTTCTCTTCCTCTGTTGCTGCTGGATTCACACCCGAAGGTCAGCTTCATGCTCCCAGTTGTATTCTTAGTATTAATTCCATTTTGCAGGATCAGAGCTTTACTCATGCATTTGCTTGCTTTGGCCTTCCACTGTACATCACGATCATCACCTTAATTTATTTCCCTAACTTAATTTCCCTCACTTAATTTGTTTCTCCCCACATATCAGTGCGGTGCACTACATCAGGATCCAACCCATAAAATAGCAATGGAGTTGACCGTACTTCAATCGACAGCACAGAGCATTCGGTCCATTAAAACATTAAAGCGATCAACATGGCAGTAACTTGTTTTACCGAGCCAATAGCTGACCAATTCCATTAATTTACTGGACAGAGTCAATTATGTTTTTTCCTCATTCATTTTAGCAAAACTTTTGGAAGGAAACCCTTCCAATGTAAAAGCTTCCTTAAGCACTGTTATATGACAGCAATCACAAACAGAAAGGAGAATGATTACGTCACAATTTATCCATGGTATTTTTCCAATCACAGAGGTCAGGTGCTCATATATTATTCTCGTGCATTCTTTCAGTCTTCTTTCCCGGTTCTCCATTAAGCAGGCTGTACTGGCAATTAGAAATGTATTGATCTTGACAGCTGTTTTGATGGAGGCTCATCTCGTCACATGGCATGACTCATTTACACCCTAGGAAGAGGGGTTTGTGAGTGTTACATAAATATGAATATGCCCATTTCAAATAACAAATACAAAGTATTCATGTTACAAATCGTGGCATATGACATTATATGCATAAGACCCAGTGGACAATGTCAGTAAATTAGAGGGAAATACTCCAAATATTCTGTGAGAATACACCTCATGAAACACAGACGTGGGCTGATCATTTCTAAATCACATCTGGTCCCCAGGTTATACTACCCGTGCAAATAAGGGGTTTGGAAAAATGTAACTCCTTTCCTTTACACATCGTTATTAAGGAATTTGGAGAAATTACTTTTGACGCTGAGAACCTTCTCCTTCTGGTCATCACTGTAAGATCTATCTCTCATTTTCCAGTTACGATACTCCCTCGTTGTAAGTCAGAAACCCAAATACTGGGCCTCGAACTATGCAGAAAACCGGCGCCGGAGACTGAGCCTCTTTCCTTTGAACGATTGATCCTTTGCACAGATGGTTTTCCTCAGCAAAGAGTGAGAGCTAAAAAACCAGATTCAAGGCACGAAAACAACCTGAGACTTACCGATCTCTCCATCCTGCCAGGAACGGCTTGGGCTCGGGGGAGAATGAGCGAAGCAAAGGGCGCTGGCTGCGTGCAAGGAGCAATATACAGCTATTATCCCATTTTAAATGCTTTTTGGACAATTCAAAAACTCAAGGGATTACAACAGCAGAGGTATAGTTTGTAGTAAGTCTAATCTGCATCAACATGGAAACCAATGCCCTTGCAAATGGTGACTCAAAGCCTGAATTTGTTGTTGTAAAATGTTGTAGAAATATTTTTCAAATTTGGTGCTGCTATGTTTGTCACACATTTGACCACATCATAGTTTATTTTCATCTTCACTGCATGTTATCTAACTCCCCAGTCATTTCAGATCCTCCCAGATCACCAGCTCATTACCCTCACCTGGTTCTCCTTGCTCTCACCTGAAGCACATCCCCTCATCAGCCACTCACTATTTAAGCCCGTCACATTCTGTTGTTCCCTGCCAGATTGTCTTGTGTGTTTTGCCGAGTTTTCCAGCCGTTTTCCCAGTTACCCCGATTTACCTCTGTTTTGACCCTGCCTGCCTGCCTTTCGACCACTGTTATTATCGTTAACGAAAAAACGAAAACGAGGTGTGACTTTTTTTTCTTTTTTCGTTAACTGAAATAAAAATAAAAACGAGCCTTTAAAAAAAACATAACTAACTAGAGAAAATGTCTTTAGTTTTCGTCTTTGTCAATGCTATAGAATCTTCCATTTTCGCTAGAAGAAGAGCATTGGCAGAACAAGCATATACCTGACCGGTGGGCTCTCGCACGCCCATTTCATTGAGGCAGAGGTACTGTTTGTCTCCACTCTTTTTTCACAGCGTTTTTATGTCAGATCAGCAAGACTAAGCATAAGCTCAACCCAGTTTGTGAGGGATTGCGCAATCTGAGACGAGGCACAGCTCGTCGCTGCCTCACCGTTTCGCTGTTTCCTGATTGTTTGAACAGGACATGCGCAAATTCAGCGATTTTGATTATAATAATGCTCGAAATGATTGGAATCATGCAGAAATTACATTTATAGCACAGAGCACAGATCAGTAGAAAAATATTCATATATGCCACCAATTGCCGTTTGAATCATTTATTTTTGGGAAATAGTAACAGAATAACTACCCATGATTTAGATTAGCTATAGCTAACGTTTAATAAAATGGTGGATTGCTTTTTACCTATACGTTGCTTTGTAGCCAAAATAATCTCATGGGTTGAAGAAATGAGAGTAAATGGACTCAAATCAAAGCATTTGTTGGACTGACATGTTCATCTATAAAAGAATTTTGAACACTGAGATTAATGATACTGGCCAGTCCCGAGGTAATTAGTTTATAATACCACAGTCTTGCCAGTTTGAACCAGACAGCACTTATGGCTGGACAGTGGGTGAGTTTTTTAGACCGCCAAATTTAGTCGGTCATTGTCTTTTGTAGGTGTGATATATGCTAATGGTATTGCTAAATTTGAAATTATCTAGCATTGGGTCAGCTACCTACCCTGAATGGCTATTGGGTTGTGAGTGAGATTCGGTTAATTACAAACCTCAGCAGTCGAGTGAAGTAGAAAGAAGCCTTAACCGCTGATATCGTGACAACATTAAACTATTCATACTTCTAAAAGTCACGTCTCTTGAAGCTCAATGCAACCAAGAAGTATTTCATAATGTCCTTTAAACACTACACTTCACTCAGCTCATCATCATCTCCGTGTAGCACAACGTGGTGTCCGTCCTGTTTTGTTATGAAGGGTCACCACTCAAAATGCTTTCCAATGCAGCCCATAAAAGCCGGGATTGGAAGGCTTTGCTCAGTCGCACAACAATTTAACATTAGCATTGTGCATGGTTAGCAGAATGTAGTGCGCATGAGATAGCGGGTAGAATTGTTGCATCCCGAATGTGGATGCTCAACTAAAATGGCGCAGAGTCAACGCAGTGCACTAAAGAGGTAGTCATTTTGGATGTCTAAAGTCAAATGTTTTGCCCATATCAATCACTCTCAATCTGGGGGGCTAATATATTGGTGAGCTAACGTTAATCTTTACAATTTAGGGGGATTATGCCACTGTATGATAGTAGTTGGTAGTTATAAGGTTGTAACTATTTAGTAGACTGTGTCTGTGCATAAACAAAGAAACGTCTCCGCTTTAGTTTGGTGCAATCCTTTTAATTAGTAATGCGGAACAATCCACTCAACACACTAACAGGTGTAACTGACACTCCATCTCCACTGTGAAATCTAGCATCTTATTTCTAAGCAGGAGGACAGCTTGCTATCTTAAAATATTTGCAACGGAGATCACCAACTTTAACAGATACCACGGGAATACATTGTCATCAATAGATGTTTGATGAAGATTTCTTATTTTGACAGAGCCACGTTAGCTGATTGGAGGTGCTCAGCACTGGTGTAGTGGATAGGGACGCCCAGATGTAGAAGGGTGTAACCAAGTGTGATGCAGGGAGTTCCCAATAAAATAGATAAGCACGACACATATTACTGTCATCTTTACCAGGACAGGTAGATCCTACCTTAAAGTTAAATTAATATTTACTTAAAAAAGATGACGAAAGCTGCGAATCTCATCAAACAAAGTAATCACTGCACCTTTTGCCTTCACTCAAAAGCGTTATCAGCCCCAAGCAGTGAAAGCACGCCAAATCAACCATCTAACAACACTTGGATACTGTTTCTTGGTCTTTCAGACACATGAAGTATATCGGATTCCTGATGTCAAAGCGAGTCAGTCTTTCACAATCCTTTCCACCTCACAAACTGAGAAAGCCCTGGCTCGGGCTGCAGCTCGGGGCTCTCGGTTATCTCGTCAGGTTGTGTTTTGCTTTCCTGAAGGATGTGGGATGAGGATTTCCGTTGATAGAGCTGTTGAATTTCGTCAGGCGGCTTTCTCCTGGGGCGACCTCCCATACTGAACAATGTTGACACATCATGTGCTTGCTGTATATAACGCTAGCCTTTCCTTTGATTTTCCCCCATTACCCTAAGAGTGTGAGCATGTGCACACCCATTTACTCCTTCAGTCTATTCATCAATTCAATGTTTTGAATTCGCTTTTCACTTATTTTCGCCGACGTCCCCTCAATTACCTTTTCAGTCTCCTTTGCCGTCTTGTCTGCCCCAGAAAGGTAGAATTCTTTGAGCTGACTGCTCCATTAAAATGCGCAATTATCACTGTTTTCATTTTTAAATATCGACCATCTTGGTCAGGATATAATCATAATCATCCTTTCCCACTCGCCAGCAATAAGTCACATTTGATGATCTCCCCTTCACGTTTCCAATTTTTTTCCAAGAGTCCGTGCCTCTGGCTGGTTGGCCTTGCAGCCACGGTGATGGATTTGAGGCCCTTCTCAAAAACAACATGGCTTACCTTTAATCGTGGCAGTCCATTTTACACATTAGCACAATCAGTTTAATTGGGTAAATTGCTTAGCGAGAGGTGACATCAAAAGACGGAGGGAAAACAGCCCGGCGCATGCAATCATCCAGCATCCATTGCTGCCTCTGGACAGGCCAGTGCGTCACAGTAGCTGCAGTGGAAAATGTGAATCGCTCACAATGTCTTAATACAGAAAGAGGTCTTTGAGGCCTGCCAAACTGCATAACTGCCCATTCGTCTGGATGGTGTTTTTCACTTTATTTTGGGGGTGATGGAACTCTAGCATGTTGCTCCCGAGTATCTGTGTGTTGGAGACGCAGTAGAAAACAACGGATGGCGTTTAAGAGCCAGTTTCTTAAATGCCACATTGCTAATATTGAGGTAAGGACGAGGGCAGACCGGACCACTCGTTTGGATTCCAGTTACTGTATAATGCTGTTCTTTGTAAAAGTGTACAATGCACAGTACCATGTACCTCAGCATGTGGGTGGGAACTCGTCACACCCAGAATGTGTGCTCAAAGTTTGTCTGTGACATTATAACTGTGTGTTTAAGGGCAGACTGGAGACAAATCTTGTTACATTGTTCTGGAGATGATCTTGAGTAAGACTAAATGTTAGGTTTAGGCAGTACCAAATTGATTTTGTTTGTATTCTCACGTTAGTTGATTCGGCCAACATGCGAGTAACCTTTTAGACACTTTGATTGATTTTTCTCTCTCTCTGACCACCTACGAGAAAGATGTGCTGTTGAGCTGCCAATGCTCCACTTTCCCCCACCACCGGATCTGACTGAAGTTGGATGGACGGCTGTTCAAATCCCCACTGCAGAATGGACAGAGCAGCGGCCATTTCATGTGAATCATGGCCATTGCAAAGACCTGTAACTTTAGCAACGAAACAAACTTCATAACTGAATCAAAAGTGAGAAAGTTGCAGCTAAACCCTGGTGAGCTGAGTGGAGCGGTGGAGTTTGATTTATAATTCATAATAATGCCCTTTCACATTACAATTAGACGGAATAAATAATGTGCTTCAAAAAGTGCAACAATTAGGGGATTGAATTACTGGTCAATTTAATTGCAAAGAAATGGCATCAGAGGTGAGTGAGGAGTCAGCAGACGGTCACTGGCAGTATATGCATTATAAATAAAATTGGAAATAAAAGCTGTTTTAAGAAAGTCACCACAAAACCTCCTGCAGTTTGCAGCAGCAGAATGTTTGATTAGCTGTGGACAGACAAAGGGGAGCACACTCAGTCACGGGCTGATAGCATGGGCCTCCTGGAGGAGCTGACGACAAAAATCCAACGGCAAATGGCCAGTGCTCCCCTCTCTTAAAAAGAAAAATTATGCTTTTTGTTGTAGTATAACACTTGGCATATCTAACAGTGGCTCAATTCCAGCATATTAATCTGTGGTGAAGTACAAGAGAATAATATTCTGTTAGCACTTAATAAAATGTGTCCTGCTGTTTGCAGTCACCGGAGAGGCTGTAACAACACAATGCGAGTGGGAACAACCCTGTTTGTGTGCCAAATGCACGGCAAACGGGGTTATCCACACCCTTGGACTCAAACAATGAAACATGTTTTAAACATGATGCACGTCTTGAATGCTGAACACTTGGCTTACGAGATGTAAACTGCTTGAATGCAAATGTTGGGTTTGTATCTTTTCACTATGGATCAACAGCTTTCTCTCATTTAAGGCTAAGGTGTCCTTTTTACGGTCAACTCATCCTTCAACCTCAGCCTCCCTTTGGTTGGAAATCCCTTGAGCACAGCAGGAAGATGGCGATGTCAGCAGACACGACCGGTGGGGGGAATCCATCTCTGCACATCTTTCGCTTATCAGTCATCGGCAACGTGCAGTGACCTGAGCAGAGGCTGCAGAGGTCGAGGCCGCGCTGTCCGTCTCTTTTGCCCTGTTCATGAATAAACAGAGGCCAGTGTATGGGTGTGCGTGTCTGTCAGGTCGATTACACACACACACCGAAACACACACAAGCGCTCAAAAAGCCCTGTGCCGACTCTACTGGCATAATTAGAAACATTTGGGATCATTCGCAAAGGGAACACAAGCTCTGATGGGATCCAGATGCACTACTGGGTTTCACTGAAATATAGGAACCTTTATTTACGAGGGGCCATTACTGGCTCCTCACCCAGGGAGGTGAGTGTGTGTGCGTGTGTACTGCTCGTTTTGTTTATTGCTGGATCATCCATATTTAGGTCTGGTTCAGTTTAATGGCTTTTGTTTCGGTGGGAGCATGTGGGGTTGGATCAGAGGTTAACCTGAACGCATAATACTGTGAGCCTAAATGAACTCGAGGAGACTCGAAAGCTGAAGTAGCTGCCAAAAGTTTAATAGGTAGAGAATTGACATTCGCACTTAAAGATGCAATATCTCCATATGTAAGGAACTTCTGTGTCCTCAACAATATTCATAGCAACCGTAAGGGGCTGAAGGGCAGAAAATTGGAGGGATTGTACGTTCCAGCCATAAGCCTTCCACCTACTCCATCAGGGGAATTGAGATCAGGTGTGCCAGGAGACACACCTGGACTTGATCTTCTCATCAAGCAGTGGGTGCAAAAAGGCAAGGAGGGAATCCGTCGGCAAAGAGACAGGTTGGGAGAGGAGCAGTGTGGGAGCGCACCGATAGTGGCCCCGTCTGATTTCTTAAGTGTAATTTAGTTTGGTGAACGCGTTGGAGATCAACTGGGTTATCTGTTTTGTTTTATCACGTTGGTTTACTAAAGCTTATTACTTGATCCCATATGCCTCTGCCTCTTGACTGCTGCGCTGACATTTTTGATGGAATCCTCAATGCAATCCAGTTACACAATTATTTAACAATTTCTTTTAGCATTTGTATAATACATCTAATATCATAAATTATCCTTCAACCTACAGATTGAACATTTTTGAATATTTTTATATGTGTGTATACGTTAAGTCAAAATCCAGTGACGTATCACTTCACTGGAACACCTCTTTGTTCAATTTACCATGCATAATCACTACAATGAGTCAATGTTCCACCAGTGCACTGGATGCTTTTTGCCACACAAATGGATCAAATGTCACTTTCAACACTATGCTGCCGCCTCCTGGCTTAGAGATGAACTGGTAACAAAACATACAGCAGTGGTTTACTAAAATTAGACTTATGGCAACATTTTGCCTTAAGTCTAATGCCATATTTGCATTGACCATGTTCTTGTCCATCGTATGGGCATGAGGGAGGCTGGACAAGGGTACAACCAAACATCAGTAGATTCACTGTGTCCACCATAATCCGAAGATTTAGAGAAGAGAACAGGTAATTACCTTTTTTGACATTATAGTGCAGTATGTAAATGTTGACAGCAATTACTGTTTGACATACCATATACTGTACCACAGTATATCAATTGTTGATATGGTCCGTGAGAACAATGCCATTAAACTGAGTGAAATTCAGCAGAAGATCATTGAGGACCATGTACATTTTGAGGGTATCAATAGTGTCAGCCTCTCTACCGTTGTTCGTGTCCTCAAGCGCATGAAACAGCTATACAGAGTGCCCTTTGATTGCTACTCAGACAGAGTCAATGGGCAAAGATTCCAGTATGTACAGGTTGGCATATATCCAGACACATTGAATGTTGATTACTCTAAGTAGTGATTTACTGTAGTGGCCTAAATCCTTTTTTTCCGTATAACTTACAAAACTATGTTTCTACAAAGGGTTTTTCAACTGGATGCAATGGAAATACCCCATGAATACATCTACATGGATGAAGCTTTGTTTAATCTCACCAAAAGGAGAAGGAGAGGACATAATGTGATTGGCCATCGGGCCATTGTTGGTGTTCCTGGACAGCGTGTCACATTATGTGCTGCCATCAGCAATCATGGGGTTGTCCACCATCATGCCAACCTGGGGCCCTACAACACTCACCAGCCCCTCATTTTCCTCAATCACATGCAAGATTCTCTGTTAGGGCAGCAGGATGAGCATCACATCTATGTTGTTGTTTGGGACAATATGAGTTTTCAAAGAGCCCTGCAGGTTAGAGTGGTTTTATGAACCAAGGTTTTACCAATCTTTGCCTTCCACCGTACTCCCCTTTCCTAAACCACATTGAGGAATTCTTCTCATGGCGGTGGAAGGTATATGAACGCCAACTTTACACTAGGGTAAATCTCCTGCAAGCCATGGGACTTGCCTGTGGTGACATAGGTGTGGAGGAATGCCAAGCCTGGATACGGCATGCCAGGATTTTTTTCCCCCGTCGCCTGGCCAGAAAAAATGTGGCCTGTGATGTGGATTAAGTGGCCTGACCCAGTACGGAGACATGATGCTGTGGCTGAGTAATGCACTTATTTGTATATTTTTGTACTTTATTCTTACATGGGCTTACTGTACACAAGTGGCAAATGCACAAGATTTCTGTTTTGTCTTCTTGTACAAGTGCTAAATGCACAGGTTTTTTTTTGTTTTGCAACATGCATTTAGCCTACAGTGAACAATAAACATTTATTTCTCCAGCTTCATGTCCTGAGCATTGTGTTATCTATTTTTCCACATAGTGTTTAGTGACTGTTCAGTAGAGTTTTAAATTTTGATTGACTCGGGGCACGATTTGACAACATAGTTCAGTTTTGAGGTGAAAGTTTGGTTTTGCAAGAAAAGTCTGAGGTTTTGTGAATGTAGTTTGAAAATTGGGTTTTGTGTTCACAGTTTGGAGAAAAGGAGAGCAGCTTTCAATAAATGGGTCTTAGCAATCGAGAAACTGTAATATGTGGCAATCACAAGAGGCGAAAATATGACAACAGTCAGAAAATCATACTCTTCCATCTGGTGATCAAAGGGACTTACAACAATGTTAAATCCCATCACCTCATGTCCCACTGCAGAACATCACTGACCTTTCAGCAGTATCGGAGTCATCATTAAGATGAGTTTAATGCAGTAGCCCAGAGACACATATCGTTCAGCCATCCGTCGGCCCCCATCACCACTTCCTGGTTGACACGAAGCACTGTGTTGCTTCTGAACATCCCTTGATGTTCCACTCATGTGTCAGTGAACTGATCAATGGAAGGAAGGATCCCTAAAGAAAACAGACAAATATGTAGGTGCTACCCAGTGGATAAAAAGCTGTACAGGGTGCGGACCCCAAAGGATGAGCCTCTTGGCCTTTACCTCCCAAATGTTTGACTTGTTTGAAAACAAGACCACAAAGAGGCTATAAGGAGCCCAAAAAAAAGAAAACAACCAGAGAGACACAAAGAAAATGCTAAGAGGAACAACATGACAACAAAGCAACTACAAAGTGACTCAAAATGACCACAAATGGACAAATAATGACAACGGCTTCCTAACAGGAAAGACAAAAACACTAACAAAGAATTACCACAAAGAGACGGAACTGATGAATTGTAACGTAATTGTGTCCTACTCCCATGCCCATTGTGACAGTGTGTGCATGCACTTTGCTGAATGAATGTGTGCGCATTTCTGTGTGTACCTGGAGCAGGCCGGCTGAGAGTCAGTCGAACCTCCGCCGGGGCATTCTTGAACAGCTTTAGCACCTTCTGCAGGCAGAAGAGAGAACTTTGAAGAGCAATACTACTGAAACGCCCCATGACCAGTGTACAACCCTTAATTAACAAAAGTAAGCAATTATCAGCCATATGATTAAATGACAAGAAATAAAAGGAAGCACTGTGAAGATTAATCCACTTGTGCTTTACTATTATATATGATGCCTATGTATTAGCATTACATTTTACTGTTGTCTAAGGTGGCTGTCAAGAGTTTCATTGCCTCAGAAAAAGACACCCTTTTTTATCTTAAATAGCTTGAAAATATATGATATCCAAAATTCCAAAATCTGGAGATTTTTAGTGGAAAGGAAGATAATCAAAATAATGCAATTAAAAAAATAAGGCAAGTGTAAAAATGTCAATAGTTACAGGAAATAATGAAATAACATGGAAATAATCATGTAAAATTACCAGTATCTCATTTCCACTTAACACAGTACTTAACTTACAGTAAGTAAATGCACCATTTTCATGCAATAAAATAACCATTTTCAAGTAATAACAAAACAGTTCAGATTGAGCAGGCCCATCGGCCAGTCAGAGGACCTGCGGTCCGATCCCTGCCGACACCATTTCAATACGACCTTACCACCTACCCATAGCCTTTGGTTTGTGAATGTTTGAATGCTAGTTTGTACTGCTTGGCAGGTGGCACCTCACATGCGTTATCTCTTCCACAGTCATGTGTCGTCATCATCATCATCATCATCATCATCATCATCAAACAGACTAAACGTGCACGTACTGAATAGGACAGCTCCTTGAGGGACTGGCCGTTTATCGCCAGCAGGACGTCTCCCTCCTGGATCTTGCCGCTCTGCAGGGCTGGTTGACCTGGAAAAAGCTCCTTTATCCGGACTAGGCTGCCAAAGTCTCGAGTCGGCGGATCAAGCTCGCACATTAGGAAGCTAAAGCCCAGGCTGTTGTCGCTTTTAGCCAGCGTCACTTCCTGGGTGTTCTCTGAGGGTTTGAGGTTGGTAGAACGTAGGTAGTAATGGGATAATGATAAGAGTAAAAACGTTGTAGGTGTATGGAGGTCAGGAGTTAAAAGAATAAGAAAGAGAAGGTGGAAGGGACGGAAATAAGCTGATTACTTGAGTTTTTTTTTAATTGATTTTGCCGCGATAAAACCTGAAGCGCTATGCTTTGTTTCTTGGGAGAGCACTCGAGCAGAAAACTGATCGATTACATTGTCGTGTCGCCCATGAGAAGGACATTTTAGCAGACTCCAGTTGTCTGCCTTAACCTGCTTGAAGGAAGGAAGTTATGTAATTTAATTTAAAACAAATCTTTTTTATATATTCATGGACTTTAAGGTCACCTCATATTTTCGTTTGGCTAGTAGCTGTTAACTAATAGTAGCATTGAGACTGGAGACTGTCCAAAGTAAAGAATATCAGCTAACCGGGGAAACTATGGACTGCACAGATAAATTGTTTTCGAGTCTTTGTGCTAAGCTAAGCAGGTGCTGAGAAATAAGTAGTAGTATTGGTCTTTTGAGGTAACTCTCGACCTCAGAACATTTTCTTTAATGAGACAAGACGTAAAAGTCAGTTTTCCAAAAAAATAGTTTTTAAAAATTTTTTTAATGAAAGGTGATATGCAAATACCATGTAATGTTAAATGAGTATCTTCGTGACCGTGGGTTTGCCTTTATTTAAGACGCTGCGCTACTTGCAAGTCGCTGTGATCTGGTAGATTGTCAGTGGATGTTCAGCGGCAGCGTGTGGTGTTCATCACGTAACGTTTTGGCTCGGGAAAATCTTGTAAATACAATATTCGTTGTCCTCAGCATCTATAGCGCTCGTACAGGACGTCATTGCGGCTAAACGGGTCTTTGTGATCTCTGAGAACTCTCTCCCTATAAAACGTTAATCTAACTGATATCGCTCCTTCATCAATGAGGAAGTGAGCTGCCCTTTTTTTCCGGGGGAGTGGCGAACTAATCCAGCAGCTAAAATTAACCTGCGCCGGAGTAGGTTCAAGTTTTTCGATGTGTTGCTATGGCGAGTTAGACAAACCTGCTTCGGGGAATCGGAAAGCCTGATCTACGTCATCTCAGCCTGAAAATTATCCGGCTAACTCAGTTAGCCACGTACGAGGAACAGGGCCCAGAATGACTTTGTTTTCTAGCTAGGGGGGTGGTTTTGTTTATTGTTTTTGCCTTTAAGACTCTGATGCCTTTTGCTTCCGTTCAGTTGTCTTTTGTATTAAATAAGTTGTTTACAATAAATTGTATTTACTATTGTTCAAACCTTGTGCACGCCTTATTTATCTCCGCCGTTCCACCTTTGCCAAGGCTACCTTTTTTTCTACATTTGTGCGTTACACCTGTGCACCCCTAGGCACGTTAGGCAGGCCATAAGGCCCTTATTGTACATGGGTTCAAAGTCACCTACCGTCAGTGACAAAGACGTAGTCCTTGGGCCGGTCAGAGATCACGGGTGGAGGAGCACTGATGGAGGAGCAGCTGTTGATCCTCTCCGGGTTGATGCTGGGATTGGATGCACTTCTAATGGTTTCTGAGCCAAAAGAGACCCTGAGCGGGTGTATCGGCACTCTCTCCACCACCAAGGTTACCAGCTAGAGAGAGGGAAATATGAGAATCTATTGCAACAGCTTTGTGCTTAGGGTACGATTCTGAAAAGAAGTTGTGCTAACGTTGATGCAGCTTAAACGCTTCACTAACATTTTGCAGTTTGCCCCTCCCTTTTAAGCTTCAGATTCAAAGTACAAAATGGGCTTAATGCCCATAAATCAAGGTCCTGTCAGGAGGGAACAGGCTCACAATGACGATGCTATCATTAGCTTGTATATTTTTAGCATTAGCCAAAATTGATATTACAGCTGAAAGTTTTGGACAATTGCAATTTGGACCTCACGAAGGTAGGAAAGGTAGGCATCGATAATAAGATTACATTTTTTTCTGTTGGTACATAAATGCGTATTGCAATGCATCCAGGAGTTGAAGCATTTCTCAAAGCGTAGATATCAATCTTCACGGTGGCGCTAGACGAGCATTCAGGTCGTCAAAGTCCCAAACATTCATCTTCTCTGAGCCATAAATGCGATTAAAAAGGGTTAGGGTTTATAGATAACCACTGGCCTCTAATGGTATTCTCACACTGACGTAATACAACGTGGCATCCTTTACCTCCCCAGTTTTACTGAGACAATCCACAGCCTGCCGGTAGGTGAAACACTGGACGCTAATACCATCCACCTCCAACAGTCTGTCCCCTGTATCAGAGAAGGTTTGACACAAATAAACCCACTCAGTAATACTTTTTCTCCTCCATCTCTTAATTATTGATTCCATACCTCTTGAAATGAACTCCCAAACTTAATGAGCAATGAATTATATTGACATGGTGTTACTTGCACTCTGGAAACTGCTATGTCACTGAAGAGGCTTTAAAATAAATCTAATTTATTTCATTTTATTATTTATTGTATGCTCTTAGTTCATTTCACACACTGAATGTAATGTGTTAACTGTGTGCCTGGCAGTTTTCTTTGCTCAATTTCAGCAAGAAGACACATTTGTCTGTCAGGACAAACAGGGTATGCCCCTCCGATGATCATGTGTTCCAGATGCTCAGGCGTTTCTCACTATCGAAAGTTTCAAAGGAATGGGGAAGCCTCACATGACTATATCAGATTACACATACCGTTAATACATAACATTACAGGTCATTTAGCAGACGCTTTTGTCCAAAGCGACTTACATTACACTTTAGACCCATGGCTTTTTCACATTTTTGCCTGGGAAGTGTCTTGCTCAGGGACACTTCGACATGGAACATGGGGCAGCCTGGAATCGAACCAACAACCTTGTGCTTCCCAGCACACATTCTCTAACCCCTGCGCCACGACGACCCCGTAATAATGCAGTTTGATAAGATTGTTCTCCATCATGTGGATATTTAGCTGCAATACCTGAACATACTCGTCCGTCTCTCTCAGCCGCCCCTCCCGGAACAAGGCTTCTTATGAAGATTCCTCCATTAGGAAGGTTATTGTTGACACCGCCCTGAATGATTAGCAATGAAACTGTAATTCAGAACATATCTGTGAAATGATTCCTGTTGTTTAGTGCTGAGGTGACCAAAGCAGGGAAAAGGGCAGCATTATGAAGGAAAAACCTCCAGATTGAGAAAAGAAGATTTGTGCCTCACTGCTTTATTTTTTATTTTTTACAGAATGTAGAGATTTGTCTTTCTCCAAATGTGTTCTTCCTTGTTGTTGGCCCTACTTCATACGTTGTCGACGTAAGTAAGTCCCCCACGGTCCCCATGTTTCATAAACTTACAGAGATGCTGATGCCCAGACTTCCTGATATCTTTCTGATCTGCACAGGGATCTCCTCGGGCTCCACACAGTGCAGAGGGGCCGACAGTGAGCAGCTGTCCTGAAACCAATAGAGACATTATGTTATAAAAACACTCACTTTAGTCCTATGTCTCAGTATGTCCATACAGCCCCCCCCGCCCGGATCCTTGCACCATACGGATTATTGGCAGATATTTAATAGAGAGAGACTAATTTATCATGGGACAGGTTGTTACATTGCTGGCGTTAATTCTGTTGAATTGATTAGAGATTATTTAGAATCCCTGAAGGGATCATTGAGTAAAGATGAAAACCACCTGAACTGTCAAGCATGACTGTACCTGAGCACCGAGGTCTCGAACTTCTCGGGGGACATTGAGCCGGTTGGCTGTCTTCGGCGTCATCATGGCCGAAACAATCTCGTCTAAGCTGTTGTGTGCTGATCGGACATCCGTCATTACTGTGGTCTGAGACTCGTAATGACGCATTACAGGAGAGCGCACATTGTTGGGACTGAGGCCTACTGTGGATGACAAAAGTCAGTTAACACTACGACAAAATCTATTTAAAGAGGGCGATGAGAAGGTGGTTATACTGCTCAGTCAAATGGTCCACAATTTGGAAAATAAGCTTATTAACTCACAGAATGCTGATTTCGTACAATTACACAGCCCCCCCTTAATTAGCTTAGCAATTAAACTGATATTTATTTTTTGCAACAAGTGTATTTGAAATGTATTTTTTTCCAGATTGCGCCACTATATTGGACGTGATATAAGCAACAACATTGTGATGCATGCTGTTTTTGTGAATAAAATGTAAAGAGATGGTGAAATTTGTCTACACCCCGTCAGCAACAAAAACTGACACAAACAAGTAGGATGATGATATGGAAAAAGAAAATGCTCTAAAATATTCTACATCTATCTATAACAGAAGGCAACTCAATACACAAAGGATAGCATGTTTGAACATAAAACAAGGGGGAAAACACTAAAATAGTGAAGTTATTAAAAACAGGAGTCTTGGAAAAGATAATTACTAAATTAAAACCCAAACAAATGAGGGCATGGGTCACAGCGACAGTAACACACACAAACACACACACACACACATTGACCTCACACACAGAGCACCTTTCGGCTGTGAGATTATCAGCTGCACTTCCTCTGGGCTGCTCTGCATGACCTCTGCTGCCTTACTAAAGGTGACGCCCTCCAGGCTGATGTGGTTCAGAGAGATCAGACGACCACCTGCAGGCAAAGGTCACTGTGAAATTGCGCCGGTGTCCGGTATCCGTGGAGTCTGAAGTCTTCTCCGCCATTTGTGACCCCAAAACCCTGTGCATTTGTTTCCTTCTGATGACACTTAATACATTGGTGCTCAGGGAGTAAGAATGTACACTTCTCTACCTGGTTGGATGCGTCCATCCTTATCGGCAGGTCCACCAGGCACAATGGAAGCAACAAAGATACCCAGGTCATAGTGGCCCACAGTGTCCTCTCCCACGATCACTACACCTGTATGAACACAAACCATGAAACTATTACTCATCCCTTTACATAATTTCTGTCAGAGTGCTTACATGATCTAAAACAGAAAAGAACTGCAAGGGATGTAAGCGATGTCCACTTTGTCAGCAAAGGGGTTATTAAGTTGAACATGTAAGTCTAGTCTGCCTCATTCATTGACTCATTATCTGGCGAGTTAGACGCTGTGGCCTCTCAAATATCCGGGGCCTAACTGATCAGTGTATTTATACATCCATGGTGCTATCAGTTGTAGTGGTGGCCTGTTTCTATACATTCAAATCTTTACTACTCCTCTATTTGATCATATCAGTCTTCTTTGTTGTATGACCAGCTTACCTAGGCCAAGATGTGGGTCTTTCTTTAGGTTAACACATAGGACTTCTCTCTCCGACGATGCCCTTTGTGTCGCTGGGGTTTCTGTTGGACGCAAAGCAGAGTAGCACAAAAGGAAAAGTTGCAGAGACGTTGATTGTGTTCGGTTTCTTTGGGCTGACAAGTCAACCAGCAGTGTGCTAACCTCTGAATGGTGGGGAGCCGGAATGGGCCTTAGATCCACTCTTCTGGGAACAGACAGGGGAACGCATTCCGGTGCTGCTGCGCTGACTGCAATAATAATAATAGATTTATTCTGTGCTGCTGAATAAACAAAAGTAACTAACATGTTTACTGCTGATGATGACTTACTACCTCTGCTCATTAAGCAGCTGCTGTTTAAGTCGCGCCTCGATCCGGGCTGTAACGTCATCACACAGCTTGTTCAGGGACCCACCCTGAGGCGTGGTCAGTCCGCTGTCGTCCTGCGGTGTCTCGGAGCAGGAGAAGGACTTGTGTTGGCTGCTGTGAGCGCAACACCCTGCGGCGTACTGCACAATGTTGTCCTCTGGAGGTAGAGAGTTAGTCAGTCTCTCCAATGATGTCTTCTGAGGTCCGCAGAAACTGGCAACAACACTCTACAAGATTTACAAGTCCAAAAGCTGGTTTTGGTGAGATGAATGGCGCGGCAACTGACCTGAGACCAGGCTGTGGCTGAGCTGACGGGAGATCATCTCATTGTTGAACTTGTGTTGGGCTGAACAGAGGTTACACAGATACTGGGCTATTTTCGAACTCTCTGTGATAAAGATGTGCTTCTTTTTGCTGACACGGCTCTCTACCACAAATTTACGCCTCTGTAGGAAGGAAAAGGCTGTTAGGGAATACCACACACGTAAAAATGCAACACATCTATTAGAAATTCAGTCCAAATCACTCCACTGACATTAGAGGAGATGGTCGCTGCCTCCCTCCAGTAGAAAGTCTGATTGGTGGATCGGCAGCCATCTTTAACCTCGAAGACGATGACTCCTTTGGCACAAACTCCCAGCATGATCTCCCCTTCTGAAGGCCTTTTTTCACGAATCACACGGTGGAACAAAACTCCATATTCAGGCAACTGTTGACATACCTTAAGGGACAAACGGAGAGGGATGACTGTGTTTTATAATATTAACAATGGTTGTCACAATTGTACCGCTTGATGTGGATTTCCAATATCAAACTCCGGTATTTTGCCACCTTAAGGAACTCAAGCTCTGATTCGTCGGTGAGCATCTGAGCGTTGTTGGCGTGGAGGCGTAGTAGCTCCGCCTGAATGAGAGGCAAGGCGCGTTTCTCCATGACGCTCTTGGAGACATACTGGTTAGGGCGGTAGTAGTTTTTACCGTATACCTAAAGACAACGTGTCAAAACCTTTAATTTAGAGAAACTGGGCTGTTGCCCCTTAAACATTTGTGTCTATTAGATTAATTTGACGTATTTTGTTTCAATTTGTTGTGTACAACCTCCGGCATGCAGTCTCCGCACTCCGACTGCAGGGCCAGCGCTCCCAGGTAAAGAGCAGTCTCCTCATGGCAGGACAGTTGGTCCTCCAAAAGGTCCCTCCTGAGCTGGAGGTAATACTGGTGGCAGGTCTGCTTGTGCCTGACAGGAAAAGGTCACATTTAAAGGATTGGACTTTACAACACGTCTTTGTAGTAACACAAGAAAGAGCAAAAGAGCAATACTTACAAGAGACAAATGTCATTGACAAAAAATTTGATCCTCAAAAAAAGGACGAAGGTGGTTGTAGGCACTTTCTTCCAGCTATCTGGAGCAACTTTGGAAATCTTGGTGTCATTGTCCAGAAAGAAAAACTCATTATCTGCCCAGTGAAAAGCGGACGAAAGAATTCACGAGTTGACAGAAATAATGTATGATTTCTTATCTACCTACACAGGCGTTAAGGTGCACGCCTTTTTTTCCCATCAGCATGTAACGTATCAACAAATGACACTCTCTAATGCACAAGTGTCCAGGACCTTGAAAAAGACTCCCTTGCTCATCAAAATTAAATCTCTTTACCGTCAATATAGGCCAGGGCAAAGTAGAAATGTTCCACCAGATTGGAGTGAGCCACAATCATGTCAAAGATGTCCCCTGCACTGGACTTCACCTCACACTTGACCAGGATGCTTTGGCCATTTGGCATCACCACGCTCAGCTCTCTCTGAGTGGTGGGAGATTTCCCCTTTTTTGACTACAAAAGGAAGAAAAGTAAAGATAATAAAAATCAGATGGTTCCTGAATATGTCCTGGGTGACAAGCCATCCATGAAGATCCCCCCTTCAAACAGTTGTCAATCTGTCCCAAACTGTCACAGCAATACTTGCAATTTCTTTTTTTTCTTCTTCCCAGAACTCACCAAAATGGATCCAGGCAGCTCTAAGACAACCAGCGGCTCCTCTAACGTTCTAATAAACTCAGGACCCATGTCCTGCAACAGAGGACGAATTATAAAAAAAACACGTTGAGATATTATGTTATTATTATCACCTTACATTACATGATATAACTACTCACCTTTGCTTTCTTGTCGTTGAAACTCATTGTGGATTCGAACTGTGCGAGGGATCTTGAGATGGCTTTGCGGTTACCTTCCACGTATGGCGTGCGGGGGCTGCGGTTTAGCTGTTGCCAGCTGCCGTAACTCTCCCTGTGTTGACCTCCTGGGGGAATCCTGGGAAAATTGAGTTTTCCATTCTCAGTCTGACAGGAATTGAGATCTTTCACTTCGGACACAGTGGCTTAAACATCACATATCTCTTTTCATTCTCAACAGGGGGTCTATCTAATGTATCTTTTTGTGTTGTAAACTGTAAATGTGTCAATGACAATGGCCTGTGTGCTACAAACCCTCTGTTATAAGGTGTGTTATACCTACCCTGATGGCCCGTAAGAATAAGATGCACCGGAGAATGTTCTGGAAATCTTCTTGTTCAGCTCCCATGTTGAGTTACTAAAAGAGCCTCCTGAAAACAAGAATTGGTATGCAGTACTCTAATTTGGTCAACCCACCAATATTATGGCTTTCACACGGATGGTAAATGTCTTAATGAATGAATGCTGCAGCATGCACTTTAAATCTGACAGATAGGACAAGTCTTACTGTGCAATCTGTCCCTGATCAATTGACTGCGGTCTGTTAGCCGGGATCCATTTTCAGCCATGGACACATGATCAACCTGCAAAGACATTACTTTCCAGGTCAAGGAATCAAGCACAAAGTTGCTGCAATCAACAGCTACAAAATAGAACGTTAAAAAAAGGCCATTCTCCTCTAAGAAGCTGAAACCCAACCAACAGCATCCACTCATCCAGCCACTCACAGAGTTTCTGTAGACGTCTTCCACCAGCTGCCTGATGAGCCGATCGGCAGGAGGTAGCATGGAGGCCCTGTGGTGGAGCTCGCAGGTCTCCAGCACCGTCAGCAGGTCGGTCCGCCTCACCACCATGTCCTCGCACATGCTGAGCAGCAGACCTTCCAGCTCTGCACTCATCTGGACCGGCTGGGAGGAAACCAGCGCAAAAAAAACGATGGCTCATAGGCAAAGCACTAAGAATACTCCAGAATGATTGGGAGCGAGAAATTAAAGGGGGAGGAAAGTGTACCTGGTTTTGAGGTAGATGATAATCAACACACCAGTAAAGAGTCATCCCCAGTGAATAGACAACCATCTGAGGACAGCAGGGACACGGAAGTGATTCAGACTTTGATTCCTGCTCAAATGTGGCCTCCGGGGACTACTTTTGTGTGCTGAGCTCAAGCTGTTGACTGATTGGTGTGATTGAAGTCAACTTTTTACCCAATCTTAAGCCACAGCGCTATCCAAGGATACTGGAAACAAGTTATGTGGATCTGTCCCAACCCCCGGATTTGAAACCAGTTGCCAACGTCCTGACATAGCTGATGCTCTCACCTTTTCTGCTGAAGTCCTGGTGGAGGCAGCCTGCCCCTGCTGGATCTCAGGAGCTGTGAAGGAGGCCACGTCCTCGTACCGGGCACAGCTCTTGAAGGCCAGACTCCCGTTGCCTGACAGAAGCACCGAGCCTGGGCTCAGCACGCTGCACATGTTGCCCGAGCCTGAAAAGGAAGCACAGTACAAACTCTTGACATTGAATGCTGCCTGAGAAAAAAAGCCCTTTGTAATCAAACAGGTGTAACTTGGAGGGAAATTGGAACTGATGAGCGGTAACCTTTCTTGGAAACGGCCAGTAAGGCCTCAGTGGTGGCGAGCAGCAGACACCAGACCTCATCCTCATCCAGTTTTGAACCCCGGCCCTCCAACACTTCTGCCAGGGTCACAAATGTACCCATTCTGCTGCGACAGACACAGCAGAGACAGACACTTGATGCTGCAGGTGGAAAGACTGAACTGCCGTGTTACATGTGGGAAATGTGTTTCTGTTCTACTTTAGTTGCATTAATTATGCACATTAATAAGTAACCTGTTACCTGGATTAATACTGTTGTATAGCACAACACGGTACACTGAAAGATAAGCCGTGTTATTTCTTAACAAAGGAGCGGAATGTCATCATTGGCTCGAATCCCACCGCTAAGTACAACTGGCACAATTAACGTTGAGACGTCAGAGGTCGGCGTTTGAGATGGACAAGCTTAAGATTGAGTAAACTATCTAATTGTGAGACAATCCAACTGTTTTCTTTGCTTTGATCCTCGGAATACAGCAGTCTCTGCAGTCCACAACCTAGGTTTTTTCTAGTTCAATATAAAATGACCAAACATGCAGAATGGAAAGCAACAGCTCTCTTTTTGTTTGACTAGATTATTGAATACAAGATCAGAGGAAGTTTAAGTTTAAATCTTGAGACAAAAAGAAACATCATATCTGTACTTTGTGTGTGGGTTTTTTTGGTTGTCAGTTTACTCTTATATTCCACATCAACTTGTTCGAGTTCATTCTGTTTATTTGAGCTATTGGGATCATTTATGTCACAAAACAGGAAGAAGAGCAGCCTGATTAACTAATCCCTGATAAGTATTAGCATGGTTCTCGGCAACCATGGTAACCTACAAGGCTTTTTTAAAATAGTTTTACAATCAGATTAACATCCGGATGTTGCCCTCAGAAAAGGTCTAATTATAATCATCCGATTCCTTCTCATAGTAGAAGATACCACAAAAAGGAAGAATCTTTATTGGGTTTGATGTTTTTTTAATCAATGTTATTTAGTTGTCTTTTTCTGATGACTTTACTGCTTCGATTTAATTCAATTACTGTAACTGATTTAAATCCACTACTTTAACTGTGATCTGATAATCCAATGTACTTTTGATCCACCTGGACAACCTTGTCGGCAGGAATCAGAAGAGGTCTTCTTCACAGTAGACGTCTTCACTCGTATAACTGGAAAACCACATGTGTTACAAGTAACATGAAGGATGTTTCTGTTCCTACTACCCTGAAACCACAGCAGCAAAGGGAATTCCGACACCTTTCATTTAGTGCTTTGCCTACTGTTACACGTCAACACATATTGTGTGAAAAAGGACAATAATTTGAATTTATGCACACATAATCATATTAGTAATTACTAACCAGGTTTGAGTGTTGCTGTTTCTCTATTTGCTGTCTTGCACCCTTTTCCACTTCCCAAATGAAAATTGTGTTGTGACAAAAGCAGGATATAAAAAGGCTGCTGCATCTTATGCCCCTTCCAGAACTGTGTCTGCAACACATATCCCTAGGCCTATAGGTGCTTCTACGACTAAAAGTACAGACTACAAACATCACAACTTCATTTTGACACATAACGCAATGTACCTTATTTCATCCGGTTTCTGTAAAGACTCTGGTCAAGTTTCTTCATGCATCCGCCACTAACCTAACCGACCTAATCCTTCTTCCTCTGCTGCCATTCCACCCACCGTTCCCTCGTCCCGGTGTCCTACATGGCAGCTTGTCGCACACGGTTATTTCCTCATGGCAGATCAAACGGCCCCACACTAAGGACACATCAGCTTCGTAACGTCATTTGTTGACAACTAATGACGTGCAGTTTCTGCATTCTGCTTCATTTTCAACTATTTTTAGACCAGGGGACATAAGAACATAATTGGATTTGCAGGGCAAGGGAACGGCAGATGGGGCAGCAAAGGTCGAATTGACTGTGTTAATCGGATGCTTCACATTAATTGTCCCTCTTTTGCTACTAGCACCTCACATAGATTATGTTGATTGACTGATGCAGTAGACGTGGCTTGGAGGGTAACAAGATTACACTGTTTATATAACCTTTCTTCTCTGCTTGAAATATTTTTGAAATATGAGTAACATAATGTGTAAATACTCCATTCAGACATGTGTTCTCTATATATCTACATGCAATAAAGTATAGTATAGTAACTATTTAATGTCAGCCAGATAACTGGTATAGTATGTAGTATAAAGAAGCAGTGACTAAATTGTATTTGGACCGAAAACAAAACTCAATGTTACAGTTTCAAAATCTTCATAAAATATATAATTATTATATTATAAACTGGCTTCTGGATTTACCCAATAAAACTGGCAACTCCAAGTCGCAGGTTACATTAGCCAACCTAATGTATTCCAATAATGCATTTGTCACGGGGTGGACGATTGGGGACAATTCAGGATCAGGAATCAGGAATCAGGATCAGGATCAGGATCAGGATCAATTGCATGTTTTATTGATTGCATATATTTATGATTTATGGATTGCATATTGGATGATTTATGATTGTTTGCATGTTTGATCAACGATTTATTGTGTGCTTTGAGTTTTGGTTTGCATTGTGTCCTCAATTAACAATCGTCCCCAGTGACAATGTCGAAGTGTCCCTGAGCAAGACACCTAACCCCTAATTACTCCCCGGGCAAAAAAAAGCCATGAGCCATGAAAGCCAGACATTACATTACATTACATATCGTTTAGCTGACAGTTTTATCCAAAGCGACATACATTACACTTTAAACCCATGGCTTTTTTTTAACATTTTGCCCAGCAACTTGGGGTTAGGTGTCTTGCTTAGGGACACTTCGACCTGAGACATGGGGGCAGCCGGGACTCGAACCACCAACCTTGCGGTTCCCAGCACACCCCCCTATACCCCCTGCGCCACGACAGATGTCTGAACCAGTGGACTAATTACGCGCAGGACTTCGCTCTACTGTGGTGATAAATAAAGACGGACTATTTTAGCTTCCTTATATATTTTAATCATTGTATTAAAATAAATATTTTGTATTAGTATTCCCGCCCCTGTCTCCTCTTGGGTCATTGTTCCACTGCTCTCCCCCCAAAAAACGAACCTTGTTTTTAATTATTGATAGTTCCTAGGGCTCTTAAGCCTAGTTTATGCTTCTGCGTTTTCAGAGCGACGCAGACGCAAGACCCCCCTGCGTGTCCCTTGCGTGCCTTTTCTTGCGTGCTTGCGTGCGTCGAACCATTTTTTAAGGCTTGCGTCGAAAGCGACGCAAAGCGACGCAAGCCTCCCGCAGCGCACAATGCTGCGATTGGTCTGCTATCTACATCCTTTACGAGACTCACAAACGTCGTTTTGCCGGTCGAGGGGTGAACAAAGTTGTGGAGGAAAATACGGGACAAATGTGACCGCGAGGAAAAGCAGCAGTGGCGATGCACGGGGCAATAATGTCTATCATAAATTAGTAAACAAACCAACGACTTCCACACACAAAGGCGTGACTCTCCAGGTCGTATTCGACAGAAACACGTTACTCCACCTATTGTTCTGACTGTGAATTGCTCTGCAACACTCGCAAGACTTTTGAACCTTAAATTGAAACGAGTGCGTCGACGCAACGACGCAGAGGCAGAAGCATGCGCCAGCCTAATCTAGGTGGCGGTGTTGGCAACACACACACTTTTTAAAAAACCTCGGCCGCTGACACATACAAAAATGGAGTGCCGGATATAATTTTGTTAATATTAACAGCAAATAGAAAAATATACTAAATTAAAGATCTTTATACAACGCACATTCAACACATGTATACAACGTTTGAATACATGCATTTATGTATGTAGTGTCTATGTATTTTGAATCCTCAATAGAAAAACAAATATATGTTTTTGTATATAGCTAAATTCGTAACGCTATTATATGCCGCGTTATTACGAAACGTTGCGAAAGCATCGCTTCCGCTTTACGCGGAAGGCAGTCGGTAACGCTCAAGCGCCGCTGAACGTCCCCCGGTCCTCATTGTGCAGCGGAGCAAACTGCTCAGTGTTTCGACGTCGCTGCTATGAAATGGCAGAATGTGCCTGTGTCGCGGAAGCTCAAAGAATAGCTTACATTGAGGCTACTCGTGTATTTCACGACGACCCAGGCCTGTTAGCGTGAAGGGAAGTGGGAGTGTATCCGGAGGAAAAGGGGATTAAAGAGCTGTTTTCTCCCCACCAACCGTCCCCCAACAAAACGTCCGGGTTGTGTCTCAGCAGGCAGCCAACGGCGACTGCGGGTCGACGCTGTTGGATTTAACCGGATAGGGGTGAGCTCGACGTTTGTCTTTTTATTTCCTATATAACATGGTAGACGTTGTTGTCAACAATGTCGGGGTGGGCGAGGGAGCGACGTATTTGGCGTTACCGTGACTTGGTGTTACTAAAGTATACACGGGGACTACCACAGCAGGACCGGTCCGGCCTAACTGCTAAAAGGCAGCCAGACGGAGCGGCTACACGTCTGTAACGTTAACCTCCCCTGTCACTGCTACACACACACATACGTTAGCACAATTTACACCGTATATCGTGTACCGGGTGCTGTTGCCAGTCCAGACAAAAATAGGAGAAAGCTTCAACCCACAACGCCGTGACCTCCAGTCAATGGTGATCGGTAGACGGGAGCCCCCTCCGGTAAACAAGAGACCAACGCACCGACGCCTTTGAATGCACCCCGTTTCCAAACACCTTCGCTTGGCGGATATTTACTGCTAAAGATAGGACCTGGAACGCGTGTCCCTTTGCTTGAAAGGTGGGCCTGACTCGAGCATAGGCAGGTTCGCACTTGTGATTATAATGTAGCAGCATCTTTGATAACGCAATGACGGCTCGCCTCGGATGGGATTCCGGTATTTGGATACACAGTGTGCATCACGAGCTGGTTGATCTAATGAGAGGTTTCGCGATCCATCGGATTATCAGCGATATGCAAAACGTAAACTGGGTTATCATAATGGTATTGGTGATACGATCTGTCTGACGTGTTCTGTTTGGTTCCTGCTGATCCCATACTGCACCGCACATTGCTGGCACGTTGTCTGTTTTTAAATAACCTTCCAAGAGAAGCAGTGGTCAGCCAAAATCACTGAGAAATTGAAAGTTTTACTAAAAGTAAAATGTAGCCTTCAGAGATGGAACTATGGGTTCTGGCCATAGAACTTTATGTGGAAAAACTGGGCCTATTAATCTGTGAATATTAGTTACTTTTCAAATCTTAAATGGTCAAACCACAGTGCTCACGGTATCAGGCTTATTTAAATGCACTGGGCAACTCTTTGTATCCCTGCAGGTCCTCTTCTTCTACCACACATGAGTATTAACTGGGATTTTTCCTATATAGGTGTAGTCAATGTTTTGGTAAAACACCACACCACACTGACCTGGTTTACAGAAACATCCCTGTCGAGATAACAAAAAAACGACAGCTGGTCACAGTTCAAAGAGTTGAAGGTGGGTGCAAGGAAATTTTCCTTGAGAAAGAATCAGTCGTCATCATGTGTCTCTGCACCTTTTCGGATCATGCTCAAAACCTCCTTTGCAACATGTGCTACTTCATTACTTGTTTTGCTATAATTGTATAAATCTTGTTTTGTGCTCGGACCTGACCTAGCTGTTCAAACAAGGCCCGCTGTAAAGATTTAGTCCTACAGACTATTTGTATCACGTGTGATGACATGAGTGTGAAACTCTGTGATGTGGCAAAAAAATAAAACACTTTTCCCCTTCATAGCTTTCCACATGTTATAACCTTAAGTCAGTGCTGTCGCTGTGTCGGTTAAGATTACCGAAAGCTAAAAACTCTTAAGTGGTTGATTCAAATCCTGAAAAATTACAACAAATTGTGTGAGCGGCATACTGAGATTAAACAAATCACAATCATGCTAGCATAAATAAATAAGAAAGGACACAATGGTGTCGTGTATGGACAGCTTGTCTGGTGCCACATAAAAAGGCAACAGCATGTGTGACGCGTTTATTGTAAGGGACATGGTAATGTTAATGTTTGTTGTGTTTTATATCATTTTGTAGGCCAATCCCCAAAGGCTAGCATCGCACTGGCTCCCTAGACAAAAAGCCAATGCTGTGGTTCAATTATTGGCTTCTTGATTATTTCAGAAGATAAGCTCTGTGGCAAATGCAAGTTTATTATACTTGCTTACTTGTTTTATTCGGTAGCAAAATCCTCACAAATGAATACCACTGTCAAAAGCTACGGTTTGGCTATGAACGAACGAAACGGTCTCCGGAGCACAGATACACACAACAAGGCTGTGATGGCGGACTCCACAGAGAGAAAGTTTTGTAGTCTTATTTAGCCCCTTTTTATCAACCGCGTTGTTGAAGACATCTAAGCTCGTCCGAACCAGACCTCATTTCAACAATGGGGTCAATTGCTTTGTCGTGTTTTATAGTTCGCACATCTTAGCTCAGATTGTCTGAGGCAACAGCTCAAATGCCCCCAGGCCGTCCCATCACACTAGAGGTGTGTTAGACAGCATGCCCGCTGGTATCGGCTCTCATCAGCAGCCATTACTGTGGCTGAATGCGTGCGTGATTCAAAGGTAAAACTAATGCAATCCCAGCGTAGACGGTCTGACACTTGTAGACAAGGTTCCTTCCTGTCTGGTGGTCAAAGACATCATTTCCTCACAGACGGGGACTTTAAAATGGAGAATTGTGGTGGTCGGTAAGTCTTTGATGGAGCCGCAACACGATGCCAGTGTGATATTGCAAAGTATTATCAGTAGCTCTAATTGACCTCTGACCACTATGTGCTCAATAGGTTACGTGCAGTTGTAGATCTGTATTTTTTTTTTGTCACATCTGCTTCACTCTTTCGCAGTGTGTTGGCATCCGGCCCTGCTTGTATCGCGGGCCTCCTGACGCTCTATTTGGGCTTACTGCCTGACACTCACAGTTTCCATATGCAGACCACAGATCCCCCCCAGTCGCACAGATCTCACAGTCACCCTGATGTGTGCCATTCCCTCTACAAACGGAAGAGCATCAGGTCAGGCGGGGTCAGCTGGCAGCTGTTCCTGAGATTGCAGTAAGACAAGGAGAAAAGGTGATGTTGTGATCTTGATGAGCATTGGTATCTGGCATTGTTAGCACATGCCCGATACTCAAGGTATACTGAAGGTACATGCTGCTTTTGCTTTGTAATATTGATCAGTTAATACTATAGACAACGTTCCAGCACGAGTGTTCCTTAATCCATCATCTTCTGTCTCGTTCCCCAGGTGATAGTTGTCTGATATTTATTAGCGAGTGACCAGGTGGGTTCCATTCTCCTTGGTTGCACGGCCCCACATGTTGAACATGTGGAGCTTAATTTCATCCTTTTTCGCAGCTTGGTCTCTCTCTGCGGAGGTGTCACAGGACCGTTTGGATTTGCATGGTGCCATGACAAGTGCCTCCTGTAGATTATTTATGATGCTGTTGGTACATGTGTGCTTCACATATTTGTCAAACTGCAAACCCAAATGGCACCAAGTGGTCTTGTGTTTATGTCGTACACCATTCAGATGGTTTCTCCAACCCCTTCAGAAGCATCTCGGAAGACAAATGGTTGGGTTGGGATGTGTTTGTCTGGGTGAATTTGTTTAATTACAGTGTTTCCCCTACCATTATATCGGGGGGTGGGGGGGATCTGTTCGCCCGACTACTCTCAAAACACTGAATAAGCTTTTGATTTAACTTCACAAAAATGTTTGTTTGTATTTGTGCACCTGCAGGAGTACGCGTTTCTTTTGTTTCTATTTCTTCACAAATACGGCAGCAGGAGCTGAGGCTCCTTTCATCCATCCCTGTGCGTCTGTGTGGTACGGCTCAGCTGCAGACTGCTGTTTAGTCTCTGCAGCGGGAGGACAGAAGGTGATTCGAGTGGGGAGAGTGGAGAGGAGACCAAGATTTAGAAGAAGCAGAAAGGGTAAAACAGGAGTAGAGACAAGCACAGGTGGATACGAGCGGCGCTCAAGTTCAATGTGGACATCAGTTTTTCTGCCGTGTAGAAGAGCAGAGCCATGAAACATGTACCTACGAGCGGGAAGAGTGGTTTAGCACCAGGGAGAAGGATACTGAAAGGAAGGTCTGAGTCAGCGTTAGTCGGAGAAATCCTGAGGTCAGCCGAGTCACGGTCCAAAGAACGTTCAGCTCTCGCCACAAACCCGACCTCCTCAGTGCTGTGCTCCAAATCCCACTAATGAGTGGTGGTCTTCAGACGCAGCATGAAACCTCGCTTCCCGCTTCTTGCTTCCTCTTTGGCTCGTCCCTCCGTCGCCCAGACCTTTAGGAGTCATAATACAGTGGTGATCATAACCGACGACGCGGAAGCTAGATGACATTTATACTGTGCCAGTGTACACACACACACACACACACACACACACACACAAGCATGTCTGCATTTCAGTGCAGTCGATCACTGCCAGGAACTTGACTGAGTTCTCTCACAAATACACGCAAATTTGGCCGATAACTACACAAGATCCCCGCATAATTCCGACCCGAGTAGTGCTCGATACAATTAAAGAAGTAAATTGGTGATAAGCTTTCGGCGCCTTTATTGTGCACTACTTTGATTGACAGATCTATGTATCAGCATTGTTTAATTGGCTGTTGTCCTAAACGCTGGCATAAATTAAATATATTAGTGCTGGCCGTGTTAACTTGTTATTATTGTGCAACTCATTAATTCATTAACGAAGACAAAAAAATTCATCACACGTTATCCTCCATTCAAAAATTGTTGTTATATTGAAAGTCGGTTGCTTACTGGCTCTGAATGCACACAGAGACAAACCATGGGTCACAGTGAGGGCGAGACGTTGCTGATTATAGGCTTGGCAGGGGCGTCATCATGCGTCTCAACCAATGTGAGCATTTGAGGGACAATCCCAAGACTGCTCTTCAAGCTCACATCAACCCAAACAGAAGAGAAGTGGCAGAGCAAAATGAATAAATTAAAGAAAGCTCTATTTGTTGTTTTTATAAAAATCCCTGCATTCTTTTCTCAGTGTGGATGTTTTGGCGGCCGAAACCAGTGACGTAAAAGTTATTCTCTTTTCTTCTTTCATTGGTGGCAAAATGACCGTGTTGTCTTCTGTTCATGCATTGCAGGTCTTGAGAGGAGAGCCCCACTTGGACGCCCAGTCATTGCGTTCGTCCAAGGCTTCACCATGAACCGGAACAAGCGTGAGAAGGAGTACTACAGCATAGATGTAGGCGATTCAACTTTTATGGTCATAAAGCGCTACCAGAACCTCAGACCCATCGGCTCTGGAGCACAGGGAATTGTCTGGTAAGTCAAAGGACAACCAAAAAAAAGAAGAAAGTTACACAGCTCTTCAACTGCATTCCATCAGTGGCTGTGTTGGCTTTGGTTGTCATGACGATGCTCCCTTTCTTAGGTCACATGATGGCTAAATAACTTGCTTTGTAGGTTAACTCTTAGAGATGAAAAAGTAAGTGGACCTTGAAAATGTGTCCTTTTGTTTGTTCATGTAGATCTTTTATTAGGAGCTTGGCATGAATTAAAAAAAACATGTATACATTTATACATACATTTAAGTATACACAGTGTTTCCCACAGATCCAACGTCAATGTGTGGCGGCTGGGAGCTGACCGGGGGGTGAACGCTGAACTGGAATAATTCGTTCAATATTAATTTGTAAGACAGAACTTGTAACTGTAAATACAAAACAGGGATTCACGCCTAAACAAGCGCTGTACTAAATGCGCAAGTCTGCAACTTCTGTCAGCAACGGATTTTGCGGGGCTTGCTAAAAAAGACACGCAAGGCAGACGTGGTGTGCACTGAGGGGAGGGGCTGTGTGTGTGTGTGTGTGTGTGTGTGTGTGTGAGAGAGACGCGTGAGTGACAGACGGAGGCAAGTAATCAATATGCGAGGTAATGAAAAGGACGTTCATTAATAACACAACGTTTTATGTTTACCTTTACACTCGTGAATGTAAAGCAGTCCTGCTGATTTTGATCTGTTCACACTGATCTTACAACCAGACACATGTTTTCTTCTGTCATACCAATCCAAACAGTTTCTCCACGGACACTAGGGATGGGAAGTGGAGAAAATATGTAAACACCCATCAATATAATTCTGTCCCATCAAGCGTCATCCTAGAGTAAAGTCTCCAATCTGCTTACTGCTGACAAATATTTACATCAGTGGATGGAAGAAACTGAGCTGAAGGGAAAGTATTGGAATTCAGTTAAATCTGCACCAACTGCTTTTTTCCCAACTTTTTGCTTTCTCTCCCCTCCCACCAGCTCAGCGTACGACCATAACTTTGAGAGGAACGTGGCCATCAAGAAGCTGAGCCGGCCGTTTCAGAATCAAACTCACGCCAAGCGGGCCTACAGGGAACTGGTGCTCATGAAATGTGTCAACCACAAGAACGTAAGACCTCCAGTTGACATCTTGTCTTTTTCATCATGCCATTTTAATGCTGCCATACATCTATTTTACCACAACGCATCAGGGGTGGCACCTGAACAATTTTTGTTTGTTCGTCTGGTTGCTATGGATACAGACTCATCTGGGTTTGAATGGACATGGTTTTTTGTTTGAATTAGTCGATGAACAGAAGTCTCTGGACAATGAAAAGAACTCAATTGGAACAATTGGAACATCGTTGCAGTACTAGTACAGTACTAACCAGCCAGCTCACCTTGTTTGGTCGACGGATTAAAGCAATACTCATTCCTGCTCTTCTGTTACAGTTTAGCAAGCCAATGCAGTCGCTCCTCCTCGCCGGTTCAGAGGCGCTGGTGGCGATGTAGTTCACTCCAGCCCTTTGTCTCCCCTCCAGACTTGCAGATTAATAACTACTTTCTGTTCTCCTTCATTTCTGCAGATAATCGGCCTATTAAATGTGTTCACGCCACAGAAGACACTGGAAGAATTCCAAGACGTGTGAGTACTACTGAGCCCGAGTATTTGTCAAATCAATCCAGGCTGTGCCCTGACGGGGCTTCCATTAGCTTTTACTGTCAGGGGCTTGTGCAGCTATAACGGGTCTCTGGTTTCTGTGTTGTTCTGCTTTACTTACACATACTGCAGGGGTCGTATTTCACAGAGAACCTACTATACCTATTGTAAATCGACACCTTCCTGCAGGCTGTGCAGACCCTTTATAAGGTGTTTTTTTTAATGAAATAAGTGTACATATACATATAACTGACAAATAAATGTATATAATTGATAATGCAGGTTTGAAAACTGAAAACATGTATCACGGAACTGTGAGGGGCTTGTGCAGCTATAACGGGTCTCTGGTTTCTGTGTTGTTCTGCTTTACCTACACATACTGCAGGGGTCGTATTTCACAGAGAACCTACTATACCTATTTTAAATCGACCCCTTCCTGCAGGCTGTGCAGACCCTTTATAAGGTGTTTTTTTTAATGAAACAAGTGTACATATACACATAAAATGTATATAATTGATAATGCAGGTTTGAAAACTGAAAATACGTATCACGGCACACATTCTAAAAAATAAAAGTGTTTTAGTGCAGCTCATCTGCAATCTGTCCTACGTTGTATTCCTTTGTAAATCCTACATAGTGCCCTCTATGCTATGACCACTGATATGAGGATTGGGGCATGATAAACACCACGTCCACGTGAGAGGAAACTGGCTGTGGAAGCGCAGTGAGGGAAACACTGCACTGAGATGTGGGGGGGGGTGATGGTTTTACAGAGTATAACGGGAACCAACATGATTAATGCCGTCCTTCAGAAGCGCTCGCTCACTCTCGCCTGCAACGCTGTGTCTGCCCGATTGGAGCTAAGAAGGAAAGTGGACAAATCGTGCCAGAGGGCTGAGTAGATAGCACACAGTCTGAGGATGCAGGGTAATACTGCACTCTGAAGTGTTTGTGTACCCGAATGCATACTTACATTACAGAGTGCCCAACTGCTTCATACGTATTTGTATAGTATACAAGATATGTGCTTACTTTCGTCTTTGCACACTATCAAGGTGTATTGTGGCCAGTTAGGGTTTCTGACTTATTGGTGTATGCAGAAGTCTGGCTTCATTTGACGCAAAGCTGCGCGTCAACGTTTCTTTACGTATAACAATATGTCAGAAGGTCCTTACTTTGAGTAGAAGGACTGGAGGGACTGATGATGTAACAGCTGCCAAATAGCATAGTATCATCACAGCTTTTAGAAGAAGAGACATTACTGTCACTTCCTAAATGTCATAGTGAACCAGGCCTGCGTATGTGAGGCAATTAGAGTTCAACATGTAGCTTAAAGGCACACAAGGTTACTACACAAGTAACGTAAGTAAGATTTTTTCTGAGGGAAAATAACAAAAGCAATGCTGAATATCACAAAAGTATAAACTGTCTAAACACTATGGTCCTACTACTTCTTTGATCTGTCATCAATATATGTTAAATACAAGTGATATTGTGAAACTCCAGGGCAAGTCAGCATAGGCAAACTCTGCGTATGTAGGATCCTCTGTGCATGCATGTGCTTTACCTTGTGCACTCTGCTCACAGGTATCTGGTGATGGAGCTCATGGATGCCAACCTTTGCCAGGTTATTCAGATGGAGCTGGACCACGAGAGGCTGTCCTACCTGCTCTATCAGATGCTTTGTGGAATCAAACACCTGCACGCCGCCGGCATCATACACAGGGTGAGGCTCGCTCATGTAACACTCACAAACCTCTGCCAGTTGTCTCGGCAATCTCCATGGTGACGACAGGAGTCCAGGATGTCACTAACGCCGGCCCGACGTAATGCCAGACGTATGTTTTGCATAACAGGTTGCAAAGTGCCTTTGACAGCAATGTGTGGAGATAGACAAATCCAGTCCCTGCACTCATCGGTTTGACCCAGAAGAGACAGGATCGGTGTCTCCGGGGAGACGTTAGTCGCACAGTAATCGGGACAACTACACTGTGAATTTAAGACGTATTTCAGTCGTATTACAGTGTCACATAACTCCTAAAATCTCAAAGGATCTAATTTAATTTCCATTTATCAGTACCAGGACACAAGTTGTCAGGCAGCAGATCTATTGCGCAGGTTTTAATAACTCCGGTGCGTCTTACTTTTGAAACAACAGAAACAGGATGACACACACACACACCCTGAGGCGGTAGCAGCAGCACATTAAGGATCCCTCTTTTATGCACACACACACACACACACACACACTCACACTCACACAGACGCACTTGTGGCACACTGACTCCATTATACTTTTGTTTTATTTTTATTTATTTTTACTGATGCTTGAGTTGAAAAGCCCCTTCTCTAGAATACATGCCTTTTAGGATATGCTGGAGTTAGTGTTGCATTGTTTGCTAGCCAGTTTCCCATCGGGCATTTTGGTGACAGGTGCTGAAGGAGTCTGTGCAGTATTTTCCAAAACAGGAAGTGATCATCATGAGGACAAAACTGCTTCTCATGAAACTGCTGAGTATCTGTATAACAGTATCTGTTATAACTCATGCTAAATGCCTACTCCTCCAGCTAAAACATAATCTTCGTAAAAATAAAATAGGTAGGCCTCCTGTCTGCTGCTGAGTTGAGTGAATTTGAGTTGGCATCTTTATGTGTTGTGTATCTCCATTGGCTGGACCATTGCCTGGCCATTCTATCCCGACGGTACATGTGGAAAACACACAAGACGGAATGGTCCCTGAATTCAGCACCAGTGTGAGTGGTTCAAGTAACTCGGGGTGTCTTTTCCAGTAACTCATCTGGTAACGATGTTTGAAAGCCTTACCTTATAATTTGGGTAGAGTTTAGTCCTGCAGGGTAGAGCAGTGCAGAACACGAATGTTAAGGCACTCGACTCCAGGATCAGTTTGATACAGATCAAATCAAAAATATGACAAGGAAAAGATACGAGAAAGACCATCCTTATCATTCTTTGAACCCCCTTTCTGAAAAAATCAATCATTGTGGTATGGTCGTTTGTCCTTTCAGAGCAGAATGCCCCATATAATAAACCAGTGTCTGCTCTGTCTAAGCCTGGCTTTTAAACTCTCCGTCCCCACAGGACCTGAAGCCCAGCAACATCGTGGTGAAGTCCGACTGCACGCTGAAGATCCTGGACTTTGGTCTGGCGAGGACCGCCGCCACCGGCCTCCTCATGACACCCTACGTTGTCACCCGCTACTACCGCGCCCCCGAGGTCATCCTGGGCATGGGATACCAGGCCAACGGTGAGTGGACAAGGAGGAGCTCCTTAGCTGCGGTCTTTCTCTCCCCCCAACCCTGGGATGTTTTTCATTACCTACCAAACACACCTGCACTCCCACACACTCTCCCTGGTGCTGTAGAGGTCACACGCTGGGGGGGCATCGGTGCGTTGTGGGGAACTTCCCCTCTGCCGACTCCAGTCCCCAGCAGGGCTCTTGCATGCTTTTGATGTTTTATTAAGAGGTTGTCTGTCGTGAATACAGGCTTGTGTGCATGCGTCACCAATGTGACCGGGTGCTCCTGCTCGGGACGTATCAAGACTATTAACACTATTACAGGAGTCCATTACCATTTAGGGAGACATCTTTATTGGCCATGTGCTTTGTGGAGGATTGGTAGCACTCTCACGTGGTTGGTTAAAGCTAAAGCCAGGAGACAGTCCAAAAGTAGCAAAGGGCCCTTCTTAAGCTCACTAATTAATATGTGACATTGTGTTGTTTAATGAATTGTGTGCTGTCCGAGGACTGCAGGAAATACAACAGGCATTAAGAGCTAGAGTATTTTACTCCGGACAGAGCCATGCTAACTATTTGTGTGCTGAGCTAAGCTAACTGCCACCTGGTTCTAGCTTCAGGTAGAGCGTACAGAGACGAGAGCGCTATCAACCATCCCATGCTGTTGTCAACAAGGAAAAGCTAAGAAGTGTATTTCCATGAATGTTGAAAGATTCCTGTGATAGACGTGACTGGGGTAAAAATAGTTTGACTTTTAGGTATGAAGTCAGATGCATAATAGTACAGAGGTCATGGGGAGGGTACATAATATTAATGCTGACTTTCTAACATAGCTCAGGAGGACCTTTATTAGTGTTGATACTGTTGAATGCTTCGTCCTCTTGACCCAAAAAGCATCGACAATAATTTCCTGCTGACATGTTGCATTCTTTTGCTTAATCTCTTCTCCCTCCTTTAACGCTGCGCTCATGTAGTGGATATTTGGGCTGTGGGCTGCATTATGGCAGAAATGGTTCGCCACAAAATCCTTTTTCCGGGAAGGGATTGTATCCTTGAGCTGCCTGAAGCAGTGTCTGGCATTCCTTAAGGAACAAAACACAGCACGCAACCGTCTTTTGTCTCCCCATTCTTTATCAAATGGGACCCGTGGAGATCCCCCCGAGCGGCTACGGAGATTCTACATATCTCTGATAAAGCGGGGCGCGAATGAAGGCGATTTAACTACAACTAATCGGGCGAGTGCAACGTTGCCAAAGTTCGCTTTGCATTTGGTACAAGCGCAGCATAAGAGGGCACTCCACTGCATGCCTCATTTTTTTGGTCATGTATCACACATGTCACCTGGCACTTTCCCCTTGTTTTTCTTCATGTTGTGAGGGTTTGTATTTGTTTCTGTTGTGTTCTTGGGTCCCGCATGCTAAATAGGTGGTTGTCATTTAATTTTTTCAGTTGATGTCTGGTCTGTTGGCTGCATCATGGCTGAAATGGTCCGGGGTAGTGTGTTGTTTCCAGGCACTGATCGTATCCTTAAGTTGAACCTCTAGTCGCCCCCCCCCCACCCCCCCTTCCAAATGCCATGGTGTCTCATCCTTTATGTTTCACATTTTGTTCATTTCCTTTTCACACAATGAGTCATTGTTTACAGAGTTAGCATTCATTTCTTTCAGGGGGCGAGCTGTGGAGGGTTTAGATCTTTAGGTGGGTGGGTGTTGCACACGTGTAATCAATAACACTAATAAGCCAATATATGCCAATATATGCCAATATGTGTTTCCAAAAAAACTCTGAATACATATATTCAGCATCACCCGAGGCTTGTGTCGGGCAACAGTTTCAATTGGATGTGATCCAAAAAAGCGTAAACTATGCATAGTCTCCATTTGGCTCTCTTTAATTATTCATCAGTACAGAACGTTACTCCCAAAGGACCGTGGAAGTCCAGACGTTCTTTGTTGCTTTTCTTAACCCTTGAACCGTAAGACATCGACCAGTGGAACAAGGTGATCGAGCAGCTGGGCACGCCGTCTCAGGAGTTCCTGATGAAGCTCAACCAGTCTGTGAGGACCTACGTGGAGAACAGGCCGCGGTACGCCGGCTACAGCTTTGAGAAGCTCTTCCCCGACGTCCTGTTCCCCGCGGACTCTGAACACAACAAACTGAAAGGTAACGGGTCCCGTTTGTCTGTCGTGGTGCCTCTGGAAGCACATGAATGAATGAGGGCGCAAATTCAGTGGCAAGAGTTGAGAAGGCATTTCCCGAGTAGTCCCCTCTTTGACGGGTGCAGCAATTGTCCATCCTGGATGTAAATTGCATGTGATGTTTTTATCACATCCCTCATGGCGTGATGAGAAATGAGGCAATCAATATGCTGAGAGCGGGTTTTTTATGCCTTCATATGCTTCCGGTTTACTCATTGAAATCGGAACAAAAGGCTTTTTAAAGGCTGCTGATTTAGAATTGATCATTGGGATTTTTTTAAATGGCTATTTAAAACGGGAACGAGGGAACTGGAGATGTAGCGCGGAAACGCTTACTCTGACCTCCTCAATTAACTGAGGCAGGAATATGTGTTCCACTTTCCCACACTGTTGATGTTAAACCCTCCTTCTCATGCATTATTCAAACAAGTTCTTTTTCACACTTCTGATCGGTCCCTCCCTACATCGTGTCTACCTCCAACATCCTGAAGCAGAATGTGCATCACATTAGCAAGACACTCCAAATGTAGGTAGAGTTGGTTGAAGCTTAAAGTTTACAATTTCGCTCTTCTTCTGCCTCAATGTCTTTCCAGCGAGCCAAGCCCGAGACCTGCTTTGCAAGATGCTGGTAATAGACGCATCAAAGCGCATCTCTGTGGACGAGGCTCTCCAGCACCCCTACATCAACGTGTGGTACGACCCGACTGAAGTGGAGGCAGTAAGTAGTCACTAAACATCTAGTCAGTTTTTTACTTTTGTTAATCCCTTCAAACGTTTAGTGTCAAAGTATTTTCCTACATAAATAAACAACTAAATCCAATACAAACTGAAGACGTTCTTCTCTGTATAATAGCGAATGTGTTTGAGGACAATTGAAACCCTTTTTTTTTGTCGATTTTGCCGGAGCTGAGGCAAATTGTTTCTCGTCTTCAGCACAAAGGGGCTCGTCAGAACTGACAACACCGCCTTGGAAAGTTCTGATTTTCTGAGATTTAATGCTTGAAATGAAGGTCGTTTGATCCCAACAACACGGTTTGTCGCATCTTTTCCCCAGAAAGAGGGTCGGCGCCCTCTGAAGCAGAACATATCAGCATCAAGTGGGCTCAGTGGGAGGCAGAGTTAGTGCAGCAGGATTCCATCTCGCACCAACAGTTAGCCGAGTCTGTGGGTTTTCAGTTTTAGAGCCGACACAGTGGCCACTGGCTGAAGATGTTCCGACATACTTAGAAACAGCCTCTGTAGCTCAGAGGCATCAGTCATTTGTGTGACCGCAACTCAGCTGGCTGAAAGGGTCAGGTGAATGTGTTAAAAGAACAAAAGGACTCAAAAGGCTGTGTGTGAGCATAATTTACCACAGTGTGTGTGTGTGTGTGTGTGTGTGTGTGTGTGTGTGTGTGTGTGTGTGTCTTTTTTCCAGCCGCCACCCGCAATCACAGACAAGCAACTGGATGAGAGGGAGCACACGGTGGATGAATGGAAAGGTAGGAAGGATCCTCTTCTCTGTAAAGCCCACACAACTACGTTTAATGTGATGCCGCTCTGTGCTCATCTTTTATTCTCCAATGGATTTTTCTAAATGCACTATACCAATTTACCAACGTCCAAGTATCTCATGCACATGTGTGCTCCCGTTTTTCTGTCTTCACTGCTGGGAGTTACATTATTTGCATCCAAGTCTTACAAACATTATAACGTCTCAATCTGGTGTTTAGTCGTATAATAACATAATAAAGTTGATCAAAAGAACCTTTATTACAGGTAGTATACGCACATAGGGAGCCGTGAGTGGATTAAAGATGTTTAACGGCATTTCAGAGCAAAATAATAGGATTTTAAATATCATTTTTATTTTTATATCTTCACATTACATATTATGTCACTCAAATGCGATTTGTAAACCAAAATGTACAGCAGAGCCATGATTGGCCCCTGGGAATTGCCACAGGAAAGAATTCAAACCTCCTCTTCCTCCTCGCTGCAGGCAGAGTGAGAATGACAGCAGGAGATTATCACACCTGGAGCGTGATTTGTTGTCTCCTCATCCCAAATCCACTGCTGGGAGGCATCTCATTTCTCATATCTTTCTTTCCTCAGAAATAGATCATCAATGTAAAATTATGTCAAAACGCTGACAGCACAGAATTGTAGTTTAAAATCCGGAAAAACCTGCATGGACGCCAGTGAAGTGCACCCATCCCCCCTTTCTTCTCTCCCCTTCTCCCTGTAGTAAATACATGTGTGTGGTTTGTTGCAGAGTTGATATACAAAGAAGTGTTGGACTGGGAAGAAAGGACCAAGAATGGTGTGGTCCGGGGACAGCCAGCATCCATAGGTTAGTATGCGTGCGTGTTAAAGCAAACTTGTTCCGCTGGTACAGTTGGTACAGTTCCAACGGGTATGTGTGTGTGTGTTGTTTCCATCAGGCTAAAGCTTGTTTTCCACTCTTGAACTCCTCTGTGTGTCTACTTATTTAAGGTACTTCCTTTGCTGGACTGCAGCATGTAGAGACTCATTACACCTTCTAGCACCCTGCTCAGGTTTGGTGTAGATATACAAGAGACAAAAGACTACAGAAGATCTTCATTAATGATCAATGACCATTTAAATGTCGTCATGATTTCTGATGTCGTTGCATAAAAGAAAATACTCAAACAAATGTGTGCGTGCGTGCGTTCTCACTCTCTCTATCAGCTGACCACAGGCCTTCTCCCGTATCTCACAGCACAGGTGCAGCAGTGAGCAGTGGCTCCACCAGCACCACCCCTCCTCGTCCTCCCACGACGCCTCCCCCGTGCCCACCGAGCCGCCCCCGACAGCAGTCTGGAGACTGAGTCCCACTACAGCCACCAGCTCCCCCTGTACACCCCTCTCCCCGGGCTGCTGCAGACGATTATCCTCTACACCTCCTCCTGGGCTGGGTCCCCCCCGGCCCTACACTGACTCCTGGCCCTGCCCCCTGCATTTGCCTCCCCACCACCCACTCTCTGTGCTTGTCTTCAGTAGCGTTGCGGTTAACAGCTAGCTGTTAAGAAATATTTTGATTTCTGAAAGGGCAGATTTTTTGTTTTGTTTTTCATTTTTTATTACAGTCGCAGTCTTCTTTTTTTTTTAATTAGAATTTATTTTCATTTTGAGTCCTAGCTGTAATTTATTGTGGTATTTCTTAATTTTTCAGAAACCTAAGACGATTCATTTTTATAATTTCACTACGTTTTTGACCGACAGTGAAAATTGAACAAAATATCTGTAAAAATGTTTAATGTGACCTATTTTTCTGTTGAACTCTATTTCTTTTTACTTGTAATCTACTGCTTCTACGACTTGCCATATAAATGTAGATTTGAGTTTGTGTAGATTTACCTTCGATACAAGTTTGCAGTGAGCCATTGAAACACGATTGAATTGACATATATATGGTCTTAGTGCTCCCCTTATCTGTTTTATTTCACATGATACGGATATTGTTTTAAGTGCATATGACATATCCATTGATGAGCTGAGATCTTTTAGATTTGCTTGTAAAAAAAAAAAAAGTATTTCTTGATTCGCAACTACTTCCTACATTGTAACATTTAATGAAAGCTTTATAATTGAATCCTTCACTTCCTGTTCAGACATGATAGGATTTCAAATTCATTTTTTACTCTTCATGTAATTCATTTTTACTTTGTACTTTTAAACTATGGGATTGAAAATGGCACAGTTGGGTGCCGCAAATTAACCTGGAGCTTTTGTCCGTGTTTGAGAGGAGCTTCACAGTAGCTGTTCCTCTGTAGCAGGTGGGGTGGAGTCACTCCGCAGGACAGGAAGTCCCGGCTGTGTCGTGCTCTGGGAGGTTCATGGAGACGGGGGGGTCGTGGAAGTGGAATGTGCCCCGGTCGAGCGGGGAGATGTTGAGAAGGCGGGTGAACGTGCTGATGGAGTTGCAGGGGGTCTTGGAGAGATGCTGATTCTGCAGCCTTATGGAACAGTGTTGAAAAAATGTTGGCTTCCCGCTTCCAGATCCTGTTATTAGTGGTGTACTTTTATAAATTTGGAAATTTGAGAGGAGATTTTCTGAAGGTTGGCTAAACACTACAAGAAGAAAATAACCTAAAAGTTAGCAGCACAAACAACCGGTTGAAATAACTGATTATTCTCACGTTATGCAATAATAGTGCCCTTTTTTTTTTTTTTTGTATTTTTTTTTTCCATGTGGAAAGTAAAAGTGCCTGTTGTCTGTCATCCATTCCTGAGTAAGTGGGAGGAAGTGTTTTCATTTGATGTAGGTTTTTATGGCATCTGGTTAACAATAGTAGTTTCCATATTGAATCGCTAATGTATGATGGGGTGGTAGTTCTCACAAATGTATTGTATATTTTTCTACTGGTTTGGCTCTCGCCCCCCACCCCCCGCTCCCAGCAGGGTAAGGAGGCGGTGACGTATGCGTCGAGATGCTCAAGCTTGTGCTGGAGTCGTTTCAGAAGAAAAGACAGTTTTATCAAGGTCTTTCATCAAAGTAAAAATACGCCTTTCTTTGCAGTGACAACAACCAAAATTGAGGCTAATAGCCTGGGTTTCTTCTCTTTGAGTTCTAATTCAATGTGATGATTGTCAGAGGGGCGGATGGTAAAACTCCCCCAGCGGATCAAACCACGTCCTCCCTGTTGGTGGCAGATACATATCCGACAGCCAGACTCAAACCCTCAAAGCGGTGACGCTGAGGAATATTGAACGTATTAAGTAACCCCTGTGGTACTAACCCAAACAATGCTCAGACTTATGCTACTCAAGTCCCAACAAGCCATATTAGCCAGACGCTGTCTCCGCTGCTCGAGGAACGGCTTGTCGACTTTTTAAGATCACGAATACCGTGGTCACAAAGGAAGAAAAGAAAGGAGCCCATGCTGTTTTAAACTCTTAACTTGTCCTGCTCACCTTCCACGCAGCAGCTGTGTTGTGTAGCCCCGCTATAATTTTGTTTCTGGGGTTGCAGCACTCAAACCTTACATATTACATATATGGAACATATTTCCATATACGTACAGTAGCAGTCTAAAGTTTGGACACACCTTCTCATTCGGTTGAAACTTTTGACTGGTACTGTATGACCATGCATCAACTCTTTTGAGGAAGTAGTAAATTAACAAGCACACATTAGCTTCACCACTGAGCTATGCAAAACTTAAAGAAAACATAACAGTTTGGACCTCGGAACATGCTCAGCATTCAGTCACCACAAACTTAAGAAGGCAAGTTCAAAGCTGGTCAAGTTCAAGCCTAAATTCACACGATGCATGGTCTGCAGTCCCACGGCTGTGACTCCACAGTGTCACATCTGTAAGGAGGCAAGAGCAGCAGTTGTGACATTGCTGGCGTGGATCCATTTCTCATGTTTGATTAAATAATCAATCAGAAAATAATCGTTTGTTGGCTAAAGTGCCCTTAATTTCCTCCGGCCAACATTAGTGGCTTCTATTGGACTGTTTTCTTGTTAGGTTGTTGCTTTTAAAAAAAAAATCCAATTACTGCATCCTCCAAACAGTGTAACTCTGATTTAATTTGGCTTTGATGAACTACCTCACGCTGAATTTCTGCCAGTTCATGCCAGCATCTACATAGTCGCCTGCATGAGCTATCGAAGACGTGTGAATAACAGATTCCATTATTTATTTATTTGAAAGTGTACTATTTGTCGGTTTCAACAGACTTCTAGTTTTGTACATTATGTATACTTCACCTAGAAGTAAGAGAATTGTTATGTGTTTTTCGTTCCTTTCTTTTGGAGGGGGGAGGGTTTTCTTTTCTTTTGAAACTAAATGTGCAATACCTTCAGCAAACTGTGCTAGTAGTGTGTGATAGGCCTAGCCTCTGTTAACTGTCTCCTGAAGGTAAAGAAAATGTTTGGTACTGTCAATCCATGTTTTCCTTTTTTTTATGAATAAGATCAAGTTTAGTCCGGTGACTTGTTAACAGTCATGCTGTTACGTAATCAGTCTTACCCACCCAACGGGTCGGTCGGCCTAACTCCTTGAGGCGGAGATGAGATGTTCTCCAAGTCTAACGAGGCTGGCAGGTCTTCTGTTGGGGACGTGGTCAGGACAATAATGTTAATGAACCCAAAAAAGACAATTGAATACCTACAATAAATCATTATATGTACTGTGCTGGTTTGTTATGTTTGCTAGTGAATCCAGCCATGCAAGTAGTTTTAAGAAATCCTGGATTTGCGTGTCCCAAAAAAACCCGCAACCAACAAAGAAGTGCACTACTAGAATACATGCACTGGGATCTGATGCCACCTTTAAAAGAAACAAAAAAAATCATGTACTGCAAATAAAATAAAAAAATACACTTTGATCTGTGTTTGATCTATTTTCTCGGTAGTGACCATTTTCATTCAATTGGGTAGGGGAATATCAGATTATTAAAGGAGATGTAAATGTGGTTAAAAGAAAGGGCATTGTTGTTTGGAATGAAATGAGCAAAAATAACTCATTTTGTTCAACTTTTGCGTGATATCTCCGGGGCACCTGGATACAAATGTCCACTTTAACTGAAGGACAAACTGAGGAGGTTTTCTCTTTCACACTCACACTAAAATAATGACAGCGATGATAAATATCGGACGGGAGAGTAAACACAGAATCTTATTTCCTTTTGATGGCACTTAGGCTATAGCTCTTCGTAGTTTGGCTTTCTTGAAGAAATTGTACTTAATGAATGAATGTTAACTGAATGGTTTAAGCCACACGACCACAGGCAGCAAAAAAAGATTTCCCACCAAGCCTTGGTGATTTTAAGTACCACAGACTGCAGCAGGAGGTTGGTGGTACATTTGTATTTACTAGGGGTGTAACGATTCATTCACTGAATCGATTAATCGATTTCTATTCCTGCGATCCAACTGAATCGATCTGTGCTCCGCAAATCGGCATTCCGGACGACATGTATCGATTACAAATCGATTGAAATGGTACATAATCGATTGTATCGATACTTGGAAACTGCACATTGGATTTAAGTACAAAAACGGTATGGATGTGTCATGTGTGTTTGTTTTTTTAGCACTTTAGACACGTTAAATGTTACTGTATTCAGTCTGCCTGTCTGTGACGTCATCAGTACGCAGCGGCAGCCGCGCGAAACTCGGAACAACAACAAAACACAGCGTGGAGGAGACGACTGCGAGCAAGACATTTACAAACCAATTTATCGATCCAGCGCGTGGAAACATTTTGGCTTTTGCAAACGTGGAGGAGGAGTTCCAAATACGCGGAGTTCTAAATAAGTCGGTCGCTGTTTGTAGAATATGTAGAAGCCAAATAAAAAACACGGAAACACGACGAATCTTTCCAGCCTTCTACTAAGGCGCCATGGGATTAAACAACGCCGACAGTCAGGCACCTCTAGCAGCGTTACCGCTGCAGCAGCAGCAGCAGGTAACTCCAGCTCTGCAGACACCTCAGGCCTCGCCAGCACGAAACTCGGCATCACAGTAACAATTGCCAAGTTTATCTGTAAAGACATGCGACCCTACAATGTGGTTGAAAATCTGGTGTTCTGTAAATTGATCCAAACATTGTGTAATTATTGTGTAATGTTTACATTGAAAATGACACTTGATTCAAATAAAAGGTTGATACATTTGCCATTAATTGTTGTTTGCTTGTTTATGATATCCATAATTAATTTAAACCTGATTTCCTTACAAGAAACAACAGGGATCTCGGAAACTTTGCCTGCACTGTCCAGTAAAGTTACTGAATCGATTTCAAGTCACTGAATCGAATCGTTCGTTCTAAATTAACCCAGATCGTCCATGAATCGAATCGGCAACCATGAATCGCGATTTGAATTGACTCGTTGTTAAAATGAATCGTTACACCCCTAGTATTTACACATTACATATCCAGGTGAAACAATTAACATCATTATTAAATATATTTTAACATATTTTACTGGTAGTGCTGCATTAAACTGTTCTCTTGAAAAAGATCAGTTCTTTAAACTCCAAATTCAGTCTAAAATGTAGAATTAATAGCAATATCCACTGTTTGAATTCCTGTCACCTACACCTTTAAGCAATTAGATCATGCTTCTGTTTCACTGTCATGCCATAGATTATTGATATCTAATTTAAACTGTTTTTTATCACCTTTATTTCCATACATGTTAATTCATTACAATAATGGAGATCTATAATAAATAAGCACCATAGATAATCGGTAGAGCAGAAAGGAACATTTATCCTCAGTCATGAGACGTACACAATAGGAAATAAATGTCCCGTTGATGTTGCCCTAGATTTAGACCATCAAATTGTGTGCTGGAGGATAATTACCTTGTAAACCTGTGCAATAAAAGATTGCAATGCATTAGCGTTGCCTTTGTTTCTTTACAAAATATAAAATGGAAACAATACAGTCACATTGTCCACCCAAAAACACACTTTCACTTGTAATTAAACTTTGTGTCACGCCCTGTAACTAAGAAGCATCACTTCAACCACATTCTTCTGATTGGTGAAGACATTTCCAACAATCTAACGACATGCAATCCTCACAAAAGAGATATATAATACATCACATTGGTAAGTAAGACAAGAGATTAAGACCATTGGAGTCAGGGATGCAGGTCAAAGAGCTGAAACCCATCAGCCATTAACATTTTCCCCTTTTCGCTCTGGTAGTCGTTCATATATATTTTTTGCCTTTTTTTCATAGCTGGTTTCATCAACAACATTACATTCACTAAAGAGATACATTCTTAATTCAGAACTTCCATTCAATTCACAATTCACTTTTACAAGAATTGGCACCTTCAAGGCAGATCAAGTTATTCAGCTGTTGCCATAATACAAACAACAACAATGCAGCTACTGTGTGTACTACGGGTGAATATATTCACTACATCCCCGGACAAGCAAGCAATGCTACATTTTTCCTTTTTGAAAAAAGTTCCCTGAAGGCACAGGCAGGAAACTCCATTGTTTCTATGAGGGCAGTGCTCAGCTTCATGTGCCAAAACCAACATTGCTTCTCTTGGCTGCAGGCCGTCTTGGTCACAGCGAGAGAACAGCTGAGGGGGTCCAGCTTTGGTATTCACTGTGTACTGCAAAGGGCCCTCACCTACCGGGCCACGTGTCCTGGGCAGAAAATGCTTGGAGTTTTGTCCCTGTTGCATTATCTGTACATCAAAAGGTACAGTTGACATCTGTGCGGGACGGAGGCTTTGCCATCGAATGGACGTGGAGGCCATGCAGATGGTGACGAGGTGCAGAGGCACTGGAAGGGCCTGAGGAAAAAGAAGGTACGGAGACGGCTGATGCTGAGGTTCCCATCCCATCACAGCTTTTTGCACCGAGAAGAAACCGTTTGGAAACTCTAGATTTCTAAACCTGCTTTTGTGTTTTACGATATGCACGTTTGATTCTAAGACGTCCAGGAAAACACATTCTGCAGCACGCATACAGGAGAATAAATGCAAGTGGAGGAACTTCTGCTGTACAGTTTATCGGTCAGTTTACTCTGATAAAAAACCACAGAGACACAGGTTGTGAGATAGCTGAGAACCCACCTGCCCCAAAAACGGATGCAGGGGATTTAAATGTGGTTTCCGATCCATTTCAGCAACATTTTCCTTTCAGAATACGTAAACCTGTTAGTCTAGGTGGTTCACTAAACTTCTTGGTAAATGAAATTGCAGTGAACCCAAGTTCAATTTGTCTGAAATGACTCAAAATGAACAGCATTGCATTTTGGGAAATGTACTTATTTCCTGTCAGGTTTGAATGAGATGTTTGATATGGCTCTTATGTCTGTAGAATGCTTATGGGTAGGAGCGCCTAATGCCCTGGTTTGTCTAGCCATGTTCAGCCATCTTCACAAATATCTCAACCACACTAAAATCTCCCTACAAAATATTAATATATCCAATAGAATTAGCTAGATACAAGGATATATTATTACGAATTAAATATACAAGATATAACATGTTATCAAGTTATTTTTACTCATATTGTTAAGCAAATAGCTTTCTACATATTTTCACACTTTTTGTCCAACTCTCGTGAAGAAAGAAAATATATTTGCCAAAATGCATCAAAGCTAAATTAGTCCGCTGTCTTTCTGCATCAACACAGCTTCTCAGGAGTTCATTCATCAAGTGTACTGTAATGTAGTGATTAGAGAAAGTCAGTGCTCTCCAGGCTAGGGTTAGGTTGCACCAGTCTGCAGGCTCCTGTACCTGAACAGGTCAAGTACAGGAGAGTGATCATGCGATCACAAGGGACATCTCCTCAACTCCATTTCAAGCATGCGTGAGAAACTTAAAACTTGCTTGGTGCTCGATGAAGACGAATCTGACGAGGGCAATGGAGTCCGGGTTCCTTTTATTTTCTTCTTTTCTTTTTTCTTTTAGAGGACCCACTTTCCCCCCCAAAAATAAAAATCCTGACCTCTTTGGCCCACAAACCGATGCCGTTTTAAATATCGCTAGTCCTCGTCCCCAGGGCCAGGTCTCCTAGCGTGGAAAAGAAATCCTCCATCTCCTTCTCCAGGAGACTGTTCCGATTCTCGGCGTCCTGCCGCGCCCGCTCCGAGTTCCGTAGCTTGATCTCCAGCATGCGTTGCTTCTTCCTCTCCTGCTCCATCTCCTGTTCCAAGCACTCCATCTGCGCACACAGAGCCGCACTGGACTCTTCTAGTCTGAGGAGACGCAGCAGACCACGGAAGCAGAGTAGAGGTCATTGACCTTCACACATTACATTTTGTTGACTTGACAAAGATGGTGTCATTTCTATGTTTTTCTAGATAGAAACGACATCATCTTAAAATAATTCTCAGAGAATTAGAACCGAGTCGGTAAAATGGTCGGTAATATCTTACCACCCCCCGTCAACAAATGACTCGAAGGGACAAAACCAGTTGAAAACTCTTGCCCTAGAGGGGTAATATCCTTTTCACCTTTTTTCACCCTTGACCCGTCTTCATGGTGACAGTGTTCAATTTACTCCTACTCCTTAAAACAATCATTATTTTTTATTATTTAAGTACTTAAGTTACTAAGGATCAGTTGACATGACATGAAAATGACCACTCAGTCTATAAAAAAAGTTGTATAATTTCTTCTCTATGGATCTACGTGGGAGAAAATAAGCTCTGATGAGTTATTGCAGTTATATCCTAGAGCAAGGGTACCCAAGTGATCAATTGCAATTGACTGGTTGTTTTGGCAAGGCAGTGCCAGTAGATCCTGCCATTGATTAAAAAAATTACGTCACGTCATGGATGCAGGGTCAACCACGGGAGCTAGCAGAAACTAATGCTAATGAGCGATCCTTGCTTACTAACGTATATGTTTAGTTTTGTTCAAAAGGGACCCTGGCTGACTCAGAGTGCAATTCATTGAGTAAAGTGGCCGAGAGTTTAAAAGTTGTGGACAAACATATATGGTAAAGTGTGGGAAAAATAAAATGCATTGTTGGTGGGGTTGATGGGGTGGATCGGGTTCAATCTCTGTGTTTATAAACATTTTGCTTGGTAACACATGTTGCCAAAATAAGCCAGTCTGTTGCTATTGTAGAGCAATGTTGCTCTTTCATACACCAGGGAAACAAGCCCCATGTTACACATGAGAGACATGAACCCCCAAACTCACTTTTGGATCCTGATCTCGTACGTCGTCTTCTGTTTCCTCAACTCGTCCTTCAGACCCTCCACCAGGCCGCTCAGCATCATAGTCTCGTCTCCGTCCTCGGACGTGACGATGGAAGGCAACCCGGCGGCCGTGGACGCTGCATTCCCATTCTCGCTGCAGGCCGCGCTGCTGCCGCACAGCTCCATGGCCTCGCAACTGTCCTGCTCGGAGCTCAGGTCTGTCGTCAGCCCTCCGTCGGTCTCCCTCTGCCTCTCCATCCACTCAGCTCGCCCCCCGCCGTCTCCCCCTACGCCGCAGCTCTGGTTGGCTGAGGGCTCGCTGCCCGAGTCTGGGACGGAGATCTCGCAGGAGGACGTGGACCACGGCGTGCTGGTGACGCTCGGGACGCTCCCCATGCTGGAAGAGGAAGTTACGTTGTCGTAGGTGGACAGCCTCTGCGAGGAGCCCGTGGAGTCCCGGTCGCGGGCAGACCGCTCGCCAGACGACGTGCGCCGGTGTCCCCGCAACGAGGACAGACCATTCATCAGCCAGTTACCCCCACCTCCTCCCCCGCCGGAAGGTACACTGGCAACATCGGCCATGGAGCCGCCTCCGCCGCTGCTCGGCTTGCCCGAGGAGCTTTTAAAAGAGTACTTCCAGGAGGGTATAGTCTTTGCTTGTTTACTCGGGCTGACCACAGTCTCTCCTTTTCCAGACGGAGAGCCCAGCTTCGGTCCAGGGTTCAGGTTCGCGGTCTGGGTGGGAGAGACGGCCGCACACAGTTTGGCATCCAGAGATGAGGCACTGCTGTGCAGTTCTTGGTCGAGGTTGGACACCGGGCAACTCTGGAGGTCTTCCTCTGAGATCCAGGCTCCCAGGCTGCGATGCTGAAGCTGAGGCCCCTGGGCAGAAACTTCTGTTTGGGGTACGCTGGAAGCCTCCTGGTCCCTGCCTGAGTAAAAACGGTTGTGTTCCCTGATGAGGATTGTCATCAGGTGCTGGACTAGGGAGGTGCCTGTGGATCGCAGTCAGACAAGATATTATAAATGCAGTGTTATCCAGCTTGATAAATATACATTTGCCAATACTACAAGGTGTAGTTTGATGAAATTACATTGTGGTGTGGAATTTTGAGTACACTTTCCAGTTGGTTTGCAGTAACTTGAACCATGAATTCAGCCATTACGTCAGGGAACATGGCCCGTACCTTCCATGATGGTGACCGGGTCCTCGATCTTGGGTCGAAGAATATTTGGTCCAAATACTGTGGCAAGGTTCTGGATGCTCATTTTGTTCTGACTGGAGTGGGACTGGACCTCATCGAGGAATCTGAGCAGATAGCAAAGTTAACATTAGAAACACCCTATTCTGTAGAGCCGAAAACACTGTGTCATAAAAATACATACTTGCATATGTACGTGAGGAGATTGTAGTTAGGGATAGGCAAAGTGTTAACTTGCCTCCCGAGCTCCTGAACCCCCTGACAAAAGAGTAAACTTCTGTTAGTTAGACACACACACACACACACACACACACACACACAGTGTCTATTACACCCACCTCCTCCTCATCTTTGGCCAAAAGTTGTGCACAGTTCAGAAAGTCTTCGTATTTGGAGAAGGGAATGACCGGTTCAGGCAGCTCTCGCAGGTACAACTTCAGCAAGGATGCCACTGTGTGGACGTCTGTGTTACTGCAGAGGGGGCAGATAGGAGGGGGGGGGGTGTAAATGAGTCAGCTATTGGTTTTCTGAGTATCTTGCCAAAGAGAAGCCGGTTTACCTGTCCAACAGAGGCTTATCGCCGCAGTCAAAGGCCTCCTGCAGCTCTTTCACCAGGTTGGCCTGTCCCGGCATCCGAAAGAGACCCTCCTCATCCAGACCCCTCTCCCTGATGAAGTCGACACACTGCTCCACCAGCAGAGGGGCCAGCCGGGGGCCAAACTTCTTCTCATACTGCACCGTATCCTCTAAACGCTGACCAAATATCCCTGGGTACAGATGGAGCACACACCACGTTGGTCCATACGATTATTTTCATCCACTAAACGACACTGGGCTATATCCATCTGGTAAACGGGGGTTGGGACAATTGATCATATTTAAGATTTTTAAGGCTTTTGAATCTTTAATTGGCTCAGAAGTCCCCGTTAATTGTTACCTGTTGATTGGCTGCAGCCGTCCGACAGCTCGCGGTACTCGCAGTAATTCATTGAGCAAGAGCCACACAGCACTCCAGCGCGGCTCTCATACACCCCTAACACACATTTTACCAGATCCAACCACTCTGGTTCAGGCATTTGACTCCGCCGGGGGATCGAGCCCGCGTGACCGTACTCCCGCACGGCGGTAACGAGCTGCGGACCAGAGAACCGGCAGGTGGTCGCTCCGCGTGCTGCTGTTAACGACGGGCTGCGCGAGCTGGCGACGCATCTATTCTAGGCCGAGGAACCAGTGGACGGACCCACCTCCCGGGTAAACATGAGAGACAGGCTGTAAATATGAGCCGCCCAGCAGGGGGGGAGCTACAGCATTTAGGGGCCCAAACCACCCCAGCGCTGGGCCCCCAACCCATGTTTACAATAACAAGCGGCATCAACTAAACTGAAGTAACTTGACAGTCAGGCCTGAAAGAGGATGAATTAACTATTTGGATGACAAAATATTTGAGAATTATGGGACTATTTTGGAAACTTTTTTTAGAAACAGAGAATATAACGCTGATGAATCAGCATGAGACACAATCTGTGGCGGACCTTAAAGTAACTTAACAAAGGATAAAAGTAGCAGCTACTCCATTTGATGACCACTCTTTTGCCGTCATTTGATTCAGTGTTGATAAGAATATTAACACACAAATATTGATAACAAATTAACTGGTAATTTCAAGTAAAAATAAAAAAATTTTGTCCTCCCCTTAACAGCCTTTTTCTGCTTGCTGTAATGGTTGGACGTTCCTTTGGCCTACAAAACTTGAAACTCCCAGAATTTGACATTCATTAGTCACAACTAACAATGAATACAAATCATAGCTTTAGTAGTTGGCACCATGTTCCTCCTCTGCCAAAAGAACTCCAACCTTAAAAAATAAGTGTTGATGTTAAACACAACTGTATATAACCGGTATGTTATTCCACAATTGCCTCCCTATTAATATACCTTCTCCTTTGTAACGTAACACCATGCTGTTCAGCTGCTCCTTGAGTCCCAGTTTACAACCACACCGGTCTCGTTATATTTCTGGCCTCCCATCAAGTACACCAGATAGACAGCCAGACCAGAGCGGACAAGGTGAGAATCAACTACAGGCTCCCCGGTGCATGGAGGACTGTAAACTTCTTAAAAGTCCAAGACACTCAGTTTGACTTTTTTCACTCTTCATCCTCTATTTTTGAATTTCTGGAATAGATTGACTGTGAAACATGATCACATGTCCCCAGTCAGGTACAGTAGTCGCACACTAGAAATAGAGACATCGGGGTGAGAATTTAGTGCCGGGTAAAGAAATGAGACAGTAAGGTGGCACTTTGTGTGAGTCACACTGTCTGATATATGGACACACCAGAGAAGTGGAATTGTAGACTTTGCGGCTGAAGCCTACAAGGAAAGGAAATGAAATCTTCCTCTCTTAGGACAGGGCTTCCTCTATTATTAGTTATATAAAAGATTTGAGTCAGTAATATTCTGTTCTTTCAGTAGATGGACATCATCTTTCTTGTTTATTTCGGTATGTTGTTCTTTCAGGCTTCCTGCTTTCCATATCTTGTGTCAGAAAAGTCTACGGTTTTAATTGTAGCCCATTCCATCAAGGTCAGATGGGCTCAAGGATGAAATTTCTTCGCCATGCTCATTGTGTTTCTCGTGTTTCAGTTCAAAGGTTTAGATTTACCTCCTCCAAATGGTGCCCAGATGACTCGCCGTATGGCCTTGACCCAGTCATCCATGTCCGTCTGTGAGTTGGCCATCAACAGGAAGGACTCATGGCTGATCGCCGCCCGGTCCTTCTCCCCTGTTCCACCTGGAGGGAGAAATGAGGGAGGGAGGTGAAAACACAAGAGGTTATTATTTAGGAGTGGGGACAAAGACTTGTACACTGAGTCAAAATACAAGTTTAGCAAGGCGGTGAGAGATGCTAAATGACTGTACTCTGAGAAACTCCAACAACAGTTCTCAGCAAGTGACTCTGCTTCAGTTTGGAGAGGCCTCAAACACCTCACTAACTACAAGCCAAAAACCCCCCACTCCATGAATGACCTCCGCCTGGCAGACGAGCTGAATGAGTTCTACTGCAGATTCGAAAGACAATGTCCTGATCCCATCCCCCACAGCTCCACCAACCTGCCCCAGTCCCCCTCCCCTCCCTCCCCCAGCCCATCAGGGGCTGACGCCTCTTCATCTATATCACCTTCCCCTCCCCCACCAGCAACGACCCTCTCTATTCTAGAGAGAGACGTTAACCGGCTCTTTAAAAGACAAAATCCCCGGCCCGGACTCCGTTTCCCCTCACACCCTGAAGTATTATGTTGAGCAGCTGTCTCCGGTGTTCACTGACATCTTCAACACCTCCCTGGAGACATGCCACGTACCAGCCTGCTTCAAGGCCTCCACCATCATCCCTGTTCCCAAGAAGCCCAGGATCACAGGACTCAATGACTACAGGCCCGTCGCCCTGACCTCTGTAGTCATGAAGTCTTTTGAATGGCTAGTCCTGACCCACCTGAAGTCCCTCACCGACCCCCTCCTGGACCCCCTGCAGTTCGCCTACAGAGCCAACAGGTCTGTGGACGATGCTGTCAACATGGCCCTCCACTACATCCTCCAGCATCTGGACTCCCCAGGAACCTACGCCAGGATCCTGTTTGTGGACTTCAGCTCTGCCTTCAACACCATCATCCCGTCTCTGCTGCAGGACAAACTCTCCCAGCTGCACGTGCCCGACTCCACCTGCAAATGGATCACAGACTTCCTGTCTGACAGGAAGCAGTATGTGAAGCTGGGGAAACATGTCTCAGCCTCTCGGACCATCAGCACCAGTTCCCCCCAAGGCTGCGTTCTTTCCCCTCTGCTCTTCTCCCTGTAAACCAACAGCTGCACCTCCAGTCACCAGTCCGTCAAGCTCCTGAAGTTTGCGGATGACATTGGACTGGACATTGGACATTGGACTGATCTCTGGTCTGACCATCTGGTGTCCTGGTACAGTCAGAACAACCTGGAGCTCAACGCTCTAAAGACAGTGGAGATGGTTGTGGATTTCTGAAGGAACAGAGCCCCACCCTCTACCATCACCCTGTGTGACTCCCCCGTCACTATTGTGGATTCCTTCCGTTTCCTGGGCTCCATCATCACCCAGGACCTCAAGTGGGAGCTGAACATCAGCTCCATCACCAAGAAGGTTCAGCAGAGGTTGTTCTTCCTGAGGCAGCTGAAGAAATTCAACCTGCCAAAGACGATGATGGTCCACTTCTACACGGCCATCATCGAGTCCATCCTCTGCTCCTCCATCACCGTCTGGTACGCTGCAGCCACAGGCAAGGACAAGGGCAGGCTGCAGCGTGTCATCCGCTCTGCAGAGAGGGTGATCGGCTGCAATCTGCCGTTCCTGCAGGACTTGTTCGCTTCCAGGTCTCTGAAGCGAGCTAAAAAGATCGTAGCCGACCCCTCTCACCCTGTTTGTGCCCCTTCCATCTGGCAGGAGGCTGAGGTCCATCAGGACTAAGACCTCCCGCCACACCAACAGTTTCTTCCCGTCGGCAGTCGGGCTCATCAACAGAGCCCGGTCCCCCACTGTCTGACTCTGACATTCCACCGGTCACTCCCCTTCATACTGCACATGTCACTTTAACTGTCATTTCTCACTCGTTACTTTGTCGTCACTCATCACTTTGTCGTCACTCATCACTTTGTCGTCACTCGTCACTTTGTCACTCGTTCGATAGTGCACTTTATTTTTTAATGTTTTTTAAACTTTTTAAATATTTTTAATTTTTAACTTTATTCTTATTTTATACTAACCCATAGCCTTATTCTACTAACCCATTGCATTAGCATTTCATTTTATTTATTACATGTGCACTGCTGTCTTGTTGTCTATTGTTACACTGTCTACTGTCCCGCACCAACCGCCAAGACAAATTCCTTGTATGTTTGACATATTTTGGCAATAAATGTTTCCTGATTATTGCCAAGAACACTATTATCATAGAAAAATAGCTTGAAAAAGAATCATAAAATAATTGGCATTTTAAAAAACTGGTCTCTATGTGTTAAAGTGCGGTACAAACTAGTCCCTCAGTTTTCAGATTTTAAACAAAACTAAACCACAAATAGGATGGGCATCAGATTAAAACCAAACCGTCTGTGAAGGTTTCTCACCACTAGATGGCAGAATCAGCCTGTGCAGTCTGTATATTTGTACTCATCAAATGATTCCGGCACCATTCTTTTAAGGCATTTAGCTGGTGATCCCCAGCATATTTTCAGCAGTGCAGACGTGGAATGAGCTTCATTGCCTAAATTATTTTGACTTCACAAACATTAGTGAGTCCTGCGCAGCCACAACACATGAAACCAAAATTGTGTGAAACATGATCAGCTGCTCCAAAACTGCATTAACACCGTATTATCTCATCTTGACCCCAACCCCTTTGTCTTCTGCTGCACATTAAACAACCTGGAGAATCTGTCATGTGTTTCCAGTTTGTCATTAGTGCCATTAGTGTTGCATGGTGTTGTTGTCCCAATCATTAAGCTGTGAGGAGGCAATCCAAATATGAACAGTGGCGGCATAAAGCCAAGCGCAATCATCACCCAGCTTCACAAATTCACACGGCCCTGATGAACAACACTGTGGTCTCCTGATGGGCTCCAGTGTGAAAATAGTCAACAAAAGGTTTATTAAATGCCTAATCACTGCACATACTGTATATGCACAGCAGTAGCAGCTGGTGGATTTTTCTTTTTTCAGTTTTGCAGATATCTTATATATATATATATATTACCGGGTATATAATCCAAATTTCAAAAACACAAACATTGACAATTTGTCAAATGTATTTTTAATATAATAAACAACAAAGAAACAACAAAGAATTATACTTTTTTTTTCCTGTCGCTCACGGGGCCACGCCCCTATGCCCTCTATGGACCAGCTGCCACTGGTGCACAGTATAATCTGAAATTATTTTGCATTTTTTAAAAGAGGCCAATTAACATACAAAGTGGACGCTCAGACATTAAGGAACCACGGTACGTCAAATACCTCCACTTCAAGGTATCAGGCTCTGATAAGACATAAAGAAGACGTAACACTTATGGGTTGACATCCTTTCTCATGGTGCGAGAGGTAGTACAACTTTGAATATGTTAAACCCCCCTCCTTGGTGCATCGTTCATAGTCTCACTAGGCCAGTCCTCTTCCTCTCATTCACTGTCCAGTAGACCATTAAGTAGTCGAGCACATAATTAAAGCCTGCCTTTGTTCTATTACTTTTTAGACAGAACGCCAATGTGATGTAACCTGGTGAGCTTTCAGATGTCGTACTACTGTTGAGCCAGACTGGCTGCAAAGTCACATGCATGATTCTCGGCCCTTACTGTGTAGCATTTAGGTGCTTTATAAAAACGACTCTGCAGTAACCATTCTTCTGGCCTTGCAAAATGTATGCAGTTTAAGAGCGCTTAGTGTGGGTTATGTTCCTCAGGTACCACCCTTGTTAATAATGTGATTGATGGGGGTTCGAGCCCCAGCTGCTCCATGTCCCATGTCGAAGTGTCCCTGAGCAAGACACCTAACCTCTAATTGCTCGCTGGGAAAAAAAGTTTTTAAAAAAGCCTTGGGTTAAAAATGCAATGTAAGTCGCTTTGGATAAAAGCGTCAGCTAAAAGACCTGTAATGTAATGATTGAGTGCTGTGAATCAGCTCAGGCTTTGCTACCTATGAGCTACTTATTTTTGGTTTGTATGAGACATATGTACACATGTATTTTGATCAAAAAGTGGGACGAACATTCATGAAAAATTGATTTTTAAGCTTGAGTACTTGTTTCTTAACAGAATGTTATAACAGCATAGATGGGATTAGTTTTTAATGGACGGTGGTAGTAAAATGAATCTAATGATGAAAGCTGTTCGGGAAACACAATGAAACGGTGTGAAGTCACAAAAAAACAAGACAGACAAATGTGAGTTTTTCATTCAGTAAACACTGATGTCGACACAACAGGCTACAGCCTGCTAAGTCGTTATAAATAGCTTGGAGTGATAGTAGGATCACGTGATACTAATTTTCAGAATATGTAAACTTCTTAGTAAGTAATTACTAAACCGAATGCTACCTCCTTTCATCCATCCTCACATTCAAACTTTTTGCATAAGTAGGGGGGTTACTGCCAAACTCTGCACATAAAGATTTTGTTGAAAGGTCCAATAATCTCAACAAATGGCTTTTCTTGCAAAAAAAGCATTGACGAGGAGCCAGGACCTTTTAATACCACACAAAAGAAGCCATAAAAAACAAGGTTGTATATCAGATGCTTGCATCAATCTCCAAGCTACTCACGAGTTCTGACTTCAGCCTAAACAGCGCTTGTAAAAACTCTCCAGCATCAGTTTCCTGTTACCTTGGAGATGTTGTTTCTTCAGTCTGTCCAGTTTGCAGCACACAGGCCCCATGTCTGGGTGAGTGGGGCAGGGACCGGCCAAAAGCTGCAGCATGAAGCGGCTCCTCCGTCACCACTACGCCCGCTTGCAAGCAGGTCAGCTTGCAGGTAGCACTAACGGCCAGAACTGGCCAGTGAGGCATGCTCAACGCCAGTGGATAACCAAAACCCGTCAAACGAGTCCCACTCCTCGCTCATTCACTCATTTATTCTATCTATTCATTAACCGTTTTCTTTTGGTTTTATTTCATTCAGCAGTGTGGGCAGCAGGTCCGTTCCCTCAGCCCCCCTGGGGAGAAGCAAATCCCTCAGGAGGAATGTAACAAGGATCTTCTCTCTCTCTCTCTCTCTCTCCCTCCCTCCCTCTCTCTCTCCCTGTGTGTGTGTGTGTGTGTGTGTGTGTGTGTGTGTGTGTGTGTGTATGTGTGAGCAGTGGCGGGAAGATGGGTTGTCCTCCGATCTCTGCCAAACAAACTCGTACGCACACTCACAGAGGGAAAACAGACCATGCCGTTCAATCTCTGTCAGATACGGGCCGTGCAGAATCTGGTTTGTTCATATCTGTTTTTTAAGAATACTCCCATAGGCTCCATAGCTTCATCTGAACTAACTAACAGACACAGGCATACTTTTGAAAAGAATTTAACCAACAGGCAGGAGGTGCCACAGGTTGTAATTGATCAGAATCAACAATGGAAATATACTGTTGAAATATTTTGGCAATCATACGTGGACAGACAAAAAACATATATCCTGTTCTACCTATAAAAATGCCATGTTTCAGCTACAAAAGTGTTATTAATCAAAAGTTCAAGAAAACAAAACGATTCCTGCCTTCTCATGCTGGAAGACGAAGTTAGAGGCTCAAAACAAAACATTCTCATTAATATGAGAAATATACAGCTTTTATTTAGTTTTCTGCATTTTCTGCAACACCCTAAACACAACCTGTCGTAACTTATCCCCTCAGGTGTAGGTGCTGAAGATGAATCGATGTCCGAACAACCAGATACAGGAACTTCCACAATAAAAAAGGAATGTTTTCATGTGTTAAAAAGTCATTAAAGGGCGTAGTGTGTTATTCTTTGTAAAAAGTTAAATAAAAAAGGGGTATTGAGTTGAAAAAGTAAAATCGAAGAAAGTCACAAAATATGTTGTATAACAAAAACTCATTCTGAATTCATTTTAGCTTTCCATTAAAAATAATCACATTCTTTGGTTTTACCTTTAGTCTGCTTATTTGTCTTTGAATACCAATAATCATGATACATAAGTCCCCATTCAAAAGACGTTACTCAACAGCAAAGTATCCAAAAGTCCTTTAAGCATTTCTAGTAAGACATTTGTTCATCAAACCTCCAGGCACGAAATTACAATGTGTCTCGCCCGAGGACATGTGGAGCCAGGAACCAAATCGCACAACCTGACATCCCATCCTTATTAAACACTAAAGAGTCAAGGACTCATCAAGAAGCCTTCAGAGTCACTCCTCATCTTATCACAATGACTGAAACGTCTCTGAGTGTCAGCCTTTTCTCTGGCTCTCCTTTTTGCTCCCCCTGGGGAGGGAACAGAAGCACATGAGAGCGGAAGGTGTAAGGGAGCTTCAGTGCTTGTTGAGCTTGTTGCTGATTAGTGTTGGCTCAGAGTTTCCAATAAGCTGCTGCCCCTCTGTTTGAAGCTGTGTTGCACAGTAAAAATTGGCTGTAGATGTGAGGAAAAGGCTGCAAGACATGACTGGACACCATAATGACTGTCTTAAAAACGGGAGGAAGGGCCATCCTCTGTGAAGCATTACTTTTAACACAAAGTGAAGTCTCAAAGTCTATTCATACAACGAGGGGTGGGTAAAGCCGATTACATGGAGGCAAAAAGGAGCAGAGGAACTCATGTGGTTCTCCCAGAGAGGCCTAGAAATCTAAAATGATCAGCATCAATTTACCATGCATGGAGAGTAGTCATTTAAACCCTAAAGGTTTCATCAGGTTAATATGAACATGCAAGTCCTTAACGCTTTGACCCGCCGCTTTACCTTCATCAAGTGCATCCTTGCATCTTTCCCCCACCTAATCACCCTCCTCTCCAGCTGACTGTGTCTTCCCTCCACCCTCACCGGGGGTTCTCACCCCTCTGCTATGTTGACTGGCCATAAACAGAACACACAGGCACTCATGGCTCTGTGGGCCTACTCCAAACACAAGCAGAGACCTTGGAGCAAACAGGAGAGGAGAGCCGGACAACCGGGCTGCACGACCACGGAGGTGCCGTCCCGCAACGTTGATCGAAAGACTTGATTTTAAGATGAAACGTTTAGTTCTTGGGTTGTTGAATGGTGGTATCAAAATAAAAGTCCTTGAGATCCTTCCATCCATCTTTTTGCTGTATGTTTTCCTTAACACTGGTCAACACCTGAAGGCATTACATCAACGAACATCAAGAAGGGAGCCGTACAAGTTGAGTGGGAACGATGGGGAGGTTGTGGTTGTAAAACTACTTTGTAACATATGAAGCTGGACAGTTCTGAAATCTTCCAGCACGGAGTGGTGGTGGAGTGGCTGCTTCATTTCGTATTTATTTTATGTCACTCCTCATAGGAATTGTAAGCTAGGAATGTGATACTCATACTTGTGAGACCCATCGCTAGCCCTACGGTCATGAACCTTAAAATAAGGAGATTAACCACCACAGAACATTATCCTGGGTTAAGAGTGCTCTCTGCTGTCTGAATACTGAATAGCAACTTCCTGTTTCAAACAGATTTTTTTTTTTCAGAAATGAAAGAACACACAATATATAATTTAGTTTAGCAGTGCTTGTTTGCATGTGCTCTTTAGCACTTTCAATAAGTGCATATCGCTCAAACGGCACCTTTTATTCCATATTCTATACCAGCTGGGGTTCCTCCATTTACATGCACTTCTACTGCCGTCATCAGGCCCACTCTGAACATTTCTCAACTTTTAGTTGAGGAATGTGATTCGACTGAAACCACAGGACCTTTTACCAAACCCATCCATGTGTGGCTAACATGTATTTGTATGTACAGTATACAGTACAGTACAGTTGTACAGTAAGTTATCAAGTTTACAATGTGCCAATATCATTCATACTGCAACTATAGCATAGAGGTAATTCACAGTGAAGGGCGGATGCATGGGAGGAGCAGGGGGATTTCACCTGGTACAATCTCAAAAAGGTGTCTTCCTGGCTCGTCTGGATTAGCTGTGAGTTCGTTGACCTGGCATCCCTGCAGAGGTATACAGCCCTGAAACAGAGAGAGAGAGATACATTCAAATATGAAATAAATGTAAAATTTCCTGTCTTCTGCTCCTCCTCTCTTGTCTTTTTATTACTGTAAAAACGTTAAAGCATACAGGATATTACGTCACTTTAACGGAGGAGACCCTTTTCTGCCGGAATAAGTCCACTTTGTTGTTCATTTTTCCTTCCTTCCTTCTTAGAATGCCGTGATTTTGTATATTTATTGCATTTTAAACAAATGTTATGAGTGAATCTTTGACTGAGGTTTAAACTTCAGGAGCTCTACATCCAGGACCGTGATACTGTTCTATAAACTGTCCCTCTCTGGCCTCTTCTTCTCCTTCATTTCTCTCCTCCCCCTTCCCTTATGTTCACCCTTCCTATTTCTCCACTCTTAACCCATCTCAGATTTTAAGCAGCTTCTCCTGTAATTGAACAGGGACCCACACAGATTATCAGAATACATTGTACATTAAGATCAATACCCATTTAGCCCTGAGAACCGACGCCAAGTAAGCGGTGAAGAGATGCCAGCGTCTGTGGGTCTGCCCCGTTAATCTGCACGCTGGAATCCTCCATCAGACGGGCAGGGGAGTCTTCCAAAGAGGATCGGTCTGTCGCCAACATTAGTCGTCATGGCAACAAATGGAAGGGGTGGGAGTGGTGCATGGATGGAGCACAGGGGCAGGGCAGGAACCTGGGGGGGAGGGGCCTCCCAAGGGGGCTATGTGCTCGGAATAACACAAGTAGCTGGCCAGGGATACATTAAGGAGGAGGCAAGACGTCAGCCGAGAACACAAATCACGTAGTAAACAGTATGAGATGAAAATGTAGGATTGTTGGAAGAACTGCAAATAATGTCATGTCAAGAAGGGGGGTTTAGACAAAACAAAACTATGTCTGTATCGTTTGTACAATAAGTTGGGTGTATGACATGTCAGTTGAGATAAGATGACCGCTCAGGATATGAAATCTGTGTGAGGTGTATGTCCGGTGTCCAGAAGGCCACTCATGTCTCATGATGATCAGATGTATGTTTCAGGATAAAGAACATAATGGTCCTTGTACAACATTGTGCGTGCGCAAGACCTTTCTGTTTATCATACCTTATCCCAGTATATATGTGGGGGCTGGTAAAGAAGACCTTCAAGTAGCCTTGGCGCATGACTTGTATGTGTGTCAACTCTGTCTCCTGTTTGCAAACATTAAATGTCCTGTTTTTGATGATTTTACACTGGTGTTGAGTATTAATTTTTCTAACAAGGATAGATGGCAAAGGTTGTCCTTCTATTTGCCTCGGTCTGATGACGGAGGGACTTTAAAGTAGAGCTCACGCTCTTTGCCGCTCTTTGTCAATATGAAACTGCCTCTATTACTGAGCCTTTGACGAGCCCCAAACCGATGTAGACACTCCCAGTTTTAACCTGCTTTGCCCATAAACAGCAATCAACATCCACATTCTCTACACCAGTGACGCGCTGCTATTGACTGGTACAATGTGCGTGGGCCGCTAATAGAGACTCATAAACAACTCAGACTACCCCTGTTTAACACACACCATCAAGATTTCCATCAGCTGTCTCCTCACAAACCTGAGCCGACACTGGACCCTGGTCAAAGCCGCAGCAGTAAACCACTAAAGAAGTAAGATGAGCACACCAGAATCAGCGCTCACCTCCCCAAGAGATGGCTCTCTGCAATGGTAATACTTCCAAATGAACAAGGTTGTCCAATAATGTGTAGCTCAGTATGTCAGGACCAAATTCTGATGAACTTTGCCCAGAATCTCTAAATCTAAGGGACAGAGCAGGTAATGTTGTCCCTCTGATTAAATGTGATTTGTAGATCTGTTAATTAATTCTCCTCTGGTAAATAGGAAGTGTTGGGCTTCATGTGTCCTCATTTGTAGTTGTAGAGAAAGAGCGGTCTATAACATGGACAGGTCTCCTAAGCAAGATCGCTCCACCACCAAAACTGCATAAGTACTTTTTGTCTTTAATGAATTGCGGCTGGATTCTGATGTGCTAATGATCCACCCCCCCCGTGTGTTTGTCTGTTACATCTATCGATTGTCCGATAAGTGAAGTCCATTTGCTGTGCACGGGGTTCATCCCCACAAGATAAAAAGGAAAGGACAACCTGTATGGATCCTACCTATAAGTATTGCTCCACCTTCAACCAATTAACACATCCTTTTATCTCGATACGGGCATGTGTGTTTGGGGGTGGGGGCTTGGGGGTCTGGTCTTGTTGTTCTGTTGCAGTGATTTGCAACATAACCCCTTCAGTCCTCCCCTCAAAACCCCCCACGACTCATGGTCTCTCATTTTCCATCGATTAGAAGATGAGAGAGAGAAAAGAGCCAGAGTGACACTTCCTCACACATCCTGCTCTCCAGGGGTGCGGGGGGGTTCTGTGAGTGTATGCACATGTGTATGTGTGTGTGCATTTAACCATGCGTGTAACTTGAATCTACTGAGAGGTGCAAATCAATATAGGCCGGATGGGTATTGGCAAACTCTGATTAAAGACAGTCTGCCAAAGCCTTCTGTCAGTAGTTCCCCATAGAATGGAGACTGTGAGGAGGAGAACACGTCATTCTGTGTGTAGAGTGGGTACCTGTGTGTGTGTGTGCTCGATTGACTCAAAGACAGGGAGGGCAGACTCCTGCCGCATACATGGAACCAACAACAGCCATGCAATGTGAAGACTGAAGAAATCAATAAAAGTGTCAGGTATTCAGCCAGAAATATAAAGAAACGATTATTACGCAGTAAAGGCTGTGTTTGTGTGTGTGGGTCACAGACCTCCTCCTGCTGTCTTTTGTTGGATTACTACCATGACCTCATGTAATGAAGCCTGTCAGCCACTAGGACTGCCCATCCCAACATGTTTTTTATGGGGGGGGGGGGGGGGGGGGTGAGCAGCCAGCAAGAAACATCCCGCTTCAAAGGAGCAGCGGGATCGATCAGGGGTTTTACTCTGCAAAAACTTTCATGATGGTGTAGTAGTGGAGCACATACTGCAGGATTTTCAAATTAATTACATGCCAAAACTTAATAGTAAGATAATTGGAAAATTAAATACGCATATTTGGATGCAGTGAGCATGCCGTAGAACAAACAATCTTGTACATCTGACCTTATTCTGGAGACAGTCTAAATAGAAAGTCAGATTCATATAAAGCTGAATCCAGTAAAACTTCTGCTGCATATTTTGAGAGCATGGAGTGTTAATGAATGTTGTTCCGCTGGAACACTTTTGAATGGAATATAAAAAACAAGAAAAAAAGTATCCTTGTCTAGGCCTAGAATACCATCAACCAATCCAGCTACTAACAGATCAGTCTAAAATTTTAGTTAATGTACCCTCGAGCCACTGTAAAGAAGCAATGCGCTGCAGATGTTTGTAAGATCACTGCTTTCGAACTCCATCTACAGATTTATTTACATTTTTAAAATTAGTAATCTTTAGTCCCGACTGTCTACTCCTGACATCACTCGAGTCAAAAGGCATCACACTCGCTGCTCCCCCCGGAGCCACAAAGAGCTTTAAACAACTGCTTTTAAAGGAGATAGCAGGGGACCACCGGTAAACAGACATCGATGTGTAAAACCTTTTTAGTTGTGAATTTCGACTGCTCCTATTATAAGACATTATCAAACATGACACATTCTCTCGTAGAAATATGGCATTCCTCCACATATTGGGAACCCTTGAACCTAATTGTCTAAATGTAATCACACAAGCCAGGGAGCAATGACTGCTTCGTGGTCGACTCATTGGCCCGCTGAGCTCAAACACCTGTGGTTTGGTTTCTTCCTCGTCTTTGTAGAAGAAGAGCTGATCCGAGCGCAGCACGAACCAGCGGAGCTGCCAGTTCTTCATGATGCTGCGCTGCTTCTTCAGCCAGCCTGCTTTCAGCGCCCCCTCCTGGAGGCTGGGGGAGGCTGGCCGGCATGGGCCCCGGGAGACTTCAGCCATCACCATGCTCTTGGACCTGGCTACAAACACACATACACACGAAAAGGCTTTTTAGTCAGTGTATGCACAAGCAGGCGTGCCGCGAGGGACTGGACGGGTTAAAGGTGATTGATTTGGTGGTTCTGCTCGATTTCTTCCATTGCATTGGCTCGTGTCTTTTCATTTTCTCCCGAACAGAAGCTTGCACTATCCCTCATTGTGTATGCTTTGCCAGGCACTTCTGTCATGAACACACACAACCTTCTGCCCCGGGCTGAGACGTCTCTAGATGAAGGCGGAGTGGGACCACAGAGAGGCAGCAGACCCAAATAATAACAGAAAGCAGATAAAAAAGAGATTGCTCTGGGGGAGGGCACGCTGCACACACACGGGCACACACACAAACACAGACACAGCCTCAGGTGACAGGCTCTCCTCCCTTCTTTTCAGAGGTGGTCGGGAGAGACTCATTGTGTGTTGCTAGCAGATAGAATGGTGGAGGCGTTTGAGTGGGGATAATAGGCCCACATGGGACCGACTGACTGGCTGGCTGCCTGAATCATCCTCAACAAACGCGTGTAACCTGAGCTCAGTCAAGGACAGGTTTAACACAGAGGGGGTGGCAGCTCCAGAGCCATGTCTCAATGTGACATCAGTTTTGTCTCTGCAAGGAGTCCTTGTGCAGCTGTGAAAAAAAAAGATTTAAGAGTGTGTCATTTTTTCTAAAATTTGATCATGATATTTGACCATTTAACACCTCAGTCATCAAAGATAAAACATGGCAGACAAAATAACATGGCATAGATTTTGTACAAAGGAAGTTGTTTACATTAAAGTATTTACATTAAATTACAATATATGTGTGTAATGTGTTTGTTTTTTTTGTCGAATAATCATATAAACTGTTTTCTCAATGAAGAACAGAGGTCCCTCCATAGATGTTGCAATCTAGGAGGCACAATGGAAGACTCAAGTGTATCTGCACCCTTCTTAGTGAGCAATGGCTTTCAACAAGGTGGAAATTGTGTCTGTTCTCTTGTTCTCATGTTCCTAAAAATTAAAAAATAAGAGCCTAATACTGGATGTATGGCAATATTGGCTCATGACTTAGTAGTCATGTCTCTAGTGCCGACTCACAGCAAACACTGGATGATGATCAATGTAATGATCATGTAAGGCAGCTGACTTAAAATACATCAAAATGTCTTCAAATTATGTTACTTTAGGGATCTATTGGGTTCATACGAATGAGAAAAGACCACACAGCTGAAACGAGAGCTACCGTCTCGGGAGGCAGAAACAGAGATGCTATTTGATGATAATAATTTATAGAAATCAATTGTTCAGACATTCTCCCTGCTGATGTGTATTACACACATGCGACACACACACCCCCACACAGATGATCAATGTTCTGAGGGGCCACAGTGAAGAAGGAGTGTGAACAGGGAGGGGAAGAAAAATCAATTTTTCTATTTTATTGTCTCATCTCTTACTCCAGCCTACAAATAGCCTGAAGGAAAAGGCTGAAGTCATTTTCATTTCACTTCCCAGTTTGTTCAAGCCTGTTGATCCTCAGAGCTGTAGCTTTTTTATGTTACCAAAGTGGTATGTTTTGGTGTAATGGTTTTTATACGTCAAAAAAATGTAAATCATCTTGCACATTGCAATAGGCCAAGTAAAAACGGACACTTCATTATTCATAAAACAAACAAAACTACTCACCTAAGATATCAAAAACTATTAAATAAAATTCCAAACACAGCGACAGCTTTAATTGAACGGATTGCTCATTTAGCTAGTTTGCTCATTTCTTTAGCCAATGGCTAGTTATTTAGTTGGTCAAATATATCACTCTAAACAAGTACAAAAAGTAGTTCTGCACTAACCCCCGAGGACAACATCTGTCTCATAGTATGCTGAATGCTGCATTCCATTATCATTGAGCTACATAACTACATAACATACGGTCATCTTATTAAATGAGGATGTAAGAGCATTGACTGCAAACATAAAACCTTGCACTCTTTTCTCTGTTTAGCCTGTATTCTGCACTTTGGCTTACCTCGTTTTGTCATTGTGTGAATTCACACGATGAATAAACGAGGTAAGCAGTTACTTCCACAGTCCTTTCCCCCTCCATCTGACTCGCTCTGATTCTTCTGTCCCTCCTTACGTTCAGCGCTGCTGGTCCTGTTGAATCAAAGCTGTGTTATTAACGAGAGCACAAAGGGCACACAAAAAGGATCCCTATTCTCATCTCTGGCAGCTCATCTGATAAGTAGAATAAATTAGTTCAGGAATTAAAGGCACATATCCATGAGATATTTGAAGGTACAATTATTTCCAGTAATTTTGCAAATGATAATTTATGCATTGTAAAGATGTCTTAATTGCCTTTTGCAAATGGGCTCATGCCTTGTTGGTGGTTCTACATCTGCCTGTAAGCCTTAAATAAGGTGTGTTACATTTTCAAGCAACAACAAGCTAATGTTGGAGCTCTCTTGGCTGCGGCCAAGCTATACTGACCATATATGAACTACGATCCAGTGTAAGGCAGATAATTACTCTGCAAGCATACATGTGGCGTGTCCTGTGTCGTGTTTTTCTAATGCATGATATCTTTTGATTACTAGGGTTTCAAAGAAAGGTCACACAGCAATTCTTAGAATCATCTATTTTATAGAAAATCCAAAATTCAGAAATTTGACCTGTGTGATCCTCATCATTATCTGACTCCCACTGCCTCCCTCTCTCCCCCGAGTGAGAACACCCACCCAGATACCGGCCATTTGCTAGTGTCTCCATCTGTGTGAAAGAAACCCCAAAATGCTGACTGTGTCTTTCTCTTTCCATCATCCTCGCAGCTGAAAGCATCACTCACCTTCTTCCCTTTTTGACTCGTCTTTCTTTCCTCATCACATGACCACCTTCATGTCTTTCAATCCATAAAAGAACACCGCTGTTCAACACTTCCGCTGTCTGGATTTCACAGAGAACGAAATATACACGGGCTGATGAGTCATGCCTGAGTCACAACCCTTTTTTTTGAGTATGTGTATGTGTGTCACTACCCAACGCGCCAGTTTGGACCGATTTCTCGGAGTGATTCAGATCTTCCTTCTCTTGGGTGGAGCTGCTCTGTGGTCACTACAATGCTGTAAAAAAGGTATTTTACTTCATGCATAATTACTGCAATTCACCTAAACAGAGTGTGCTTTGTGGCTCAATCAGTTACAATGATAGGTTACTCAACATTATCTATTCCTACACGCGTTTATCATGACGTACCGCAATGAAAATGAACCTCATTGGCCATGGAAGAGTCATTGTGGGTATGGAGGGATGTTCGAACCTTGCTTGGTGGGTGGTGCTGCTGAGTACTTCACACTTTAACTTCACTGACAATTCAGAGGATGAAACTTAAATGTGAATTAGCAGAGTAAGACACAAAAGGCCGTACAGATTTCAATTTGAGGGATTTTAAGTTCAACTTTGGTTAAATTCTACATGCACTGTTAATAAATATGAAGTCATTTTAACATGGTAAATGGACTGTACTTGTATAGCTTTTTTCTAGTCTTCCGACCACTCAAAGCGCTTTAACACTACATGACATCATTCACCCATTCACACCCATGACAGTAGCTAAACCCTAACCCTAACCCATACACAGTGCCACCTGCCCATCAGTAACTAACATTCACACACAGTAGTCACAGCTACAGGAGCAATGTTGTAGTGTCTTGCCCAAAGACACATCGACATGCGGGTTGGAGGACGACCGTGCTCCCCACTCACCCACAGTCGCCAGGGCTTATGTTTGCGGGAACACAGAAACGCAGAGTCCAAACCAGAGGAAGCTATCGTACATAATTAGCTGCAGGTTTGTTTTTTACGGGAGTTGCGTTTCCCATATGTCCTTTAAATTATTTCATTGACATTTCATGACACACTATACTATCATAAGCTGGGGTTCTAGAACTTGTCACTACGTGAGGTTCTGCACCCGCTTAGCCAAATGCAATCTGTTCATGATTTATCTGTCATAGGAAGTGACCAATGAAATGAGACAATTATTGAAATGAAGACAGTCCAAGTGCCTCTGTCCAATGTAAGTTAGGTTACTCTCTCTCTCTCTCACTCTCTCACACACACACACGAACACACACACACACACACACACACACACACAATGCCCCTGTGATATCACTTAATGTAGTTTGGAGATGTACTTCTATCATCAGCAGGAAATAGAAGTATGGCTATCGTGCACATCACAGAGGAGCCAGTCCATTAGCATGGCGATGCAGGTATACTCCACAGTAGCTAGACAATACTACGCTGAGGATTAGATCACATACACACAAGCGTGCAATTCAATTTCATTAATCTGGTTTTTTGTGTGGTGATTTATGGTTTGTGGAAAATGGCAGAGAGAGTTACAGGTGCATCAGTGCACAGCTTCCAGTTAGCCTATCACTGTTGATTCATGTGTTAACCACTGTGTGTGCGGGTTTGCGACAGCTCTCTTTAATGAGCCGGAGGTGTGGCCAATAAAATACAGCCCGTATGTGAAGACTGCAGTGGAGAGGAACCGATGCACACAAATGCGCATATCCGTTCATTTCTGTGCATTTTATCATCTTTTTTATCGTCGTCACATGCTCATTAGCCGAGTGTACCAGTGTGTGAATGTTTCATCCATGCGGCACACTCTTCGAGCCTGCAGTAACTGGTCGTGAGGGTGTTCATTTATATGCCATGGAAAGGCGGGATGTCAGGGTGCTGCTACAGGACTTTGATCACAAAACCATGGCAACGCAGATCAGAAAGACACAGCGAGAGAATGAAGCAGCTGACATGTGGGCAATCAAAGCTGCCATGTATGGCATGTATGACCAAAGAAAAGTGCAACGAAAAAACATTACACAGCTTTAATATGTAGTTGGTTGTGGCATTTATTAAAGCACAGATGTCACAATATACCTTGGAGCAGATATTGACGATACCTTCATTGCTAGTTGGAGAAAGGCTTCTACTGGCATCCTAGATTAGTGGTGTTTTAGCCAGAGAGGCAGTTCCAATAATGAGGTGCTCTGAAAGAACAGCGTAATCTCACAGTAATTTCCCTACTGGCTGGGGGCGGATCCAAATAATCATTTGGGAAATTATGTTCAAGCAATATTCCCACGTTTTGGCCAAAAAAACACATTTGCTTTCTTGGTTTAATCAGAATATTGTTAACACTCTCCGTTATATGTACATTTGCATTTCTTTGGAGAATAAACTACCAACATTTATTATTCTTCAAGTGGAACTCAGTGAAAGATTAAGGCAAGAGAGGCGGTAGTGTCACAATGTAGCCGTTTTAGCTAACCTTAGGAGACAGTTAGCGTATCGGTGCCCAAAGTCAAACATAAGCTTATAAAAACTATTTGTAAGCTTGTGAGCTTTTAACTGGCCTTCACCTAACATGAATATCACAGCTATGCCTATCAATAGAGGAAAAACATTTCTCTTATTGATTCATCATTCATCTGAGTGTCCTCTTAGAAGCAGACAGGGTTGAGTCGTCTAGAATGTCTTACGCTCACTGGTTGGTGTTGTGTCCCTCTCTTGACCTGCTTTAATCGTGGCTGAGTATAAACTACACTACTACATCGGCCACATTCCGTCAGCAGTGAAGGCGCGATCGCACAAGGCATGCTGGGAACGCTTCTCATACAGATTCATAGGTCCACTTTACTCTCTTCACTTTTCACCGTGTTATCAGAAATGCAGCAGGTCAAAACCTCAAACAAGTCAATACAGTTACATTTTGGATTTAAAGAATGTTTTGTGCATATGGCCGTCCGTAAATGCTAATGAAACACTTAACAAACTAAAAAATGTACCAAAGACAACTGGTGTTTGTTATAATAATTTGACACCGCAATCAATTAAGTGCTAATTTACAAGATATACAGCGTGCATCACACCTAATCATTGAGCCGGTTGAGTCTGTTTTCAATCTATGCAAATACAGATTTAATCCACTTTTCACGGCGCTCCAGCGAGGAGGATTCACACACATTCTCTCCATTCTCAGGAACTATTCATTTAATCCTTATCAGATCCAGCTGTATGATTGCAGTCATGGAGATTAGTGCCATGGATGTAAACACACATACACATGGACTTATTCATACATCCATACACTACAGATATATACACACACTGTACATGTACTAGTATGAGCACACACAGCAGCAGCTGACACCAGTCTGATAGCGATGAAACAAGAGATGCTGCGCACTCCTCTTAACAGAATTGGCACCAGCAGCGCAGGCCAGCTGTAGTAGAATGCTAATGTGCACGGGTGCTTCCATGCGTGGGTAAACCTCCCGCTTCATTCAGAAATATATGTGAGAGGAATAGATGGAATGGGGGAAGAGTGTTTCTGCAGACAGGCTCTTGTGTAAATTCTGAATTCTATGAGATAGAAAAAGCACTTTATTACATCACCATATATTTGTAAAAGTACATGTAAAGCATAACTCATACATCCTCTCATCAGATGAACCAGATGCAGTGTTGATGCAGATGCTGTAGATGTGAAGGCAAATTGAGTCCTACCTCTCCTGGTCTGTCTGATCTTTGGGCTCAGCATGGCTGTCATCGCTCGTCCACGCGCTCTCCTCTCCGCATGTTCGTGTACCTCCACGCACCCCACCCCTGTCTCTCCCTCTGCCTCTCGGTCCTCCTCTTCTCTCTCTGACCTTCTGCAGTGCGTCCGGCAGCTAAGGGGGCGGGGGAGGGGAGGGGGGTTGGGTGAGCGAGAGAGGGGAGGAGAATGGAAAGAGGAGGAGGTGGTGAGGAAGAGGTTGGAGGAGGGGGAGCTACCCCTTTTATTTTCCCTGCACACACGCCCAGTGCCTCCACCCATCCCTGTTACATTATTCATATCGCTACATTCGCTTTGGGTTGTTGATGGTGGAGGAGGTTTCTCTTTTTTGGGGGGAGGGGGGCAGGCCTCCCACCGGCAGAGCGTGGTCCTCACCAGCTAAAAGATGCCTGGTTTTTAAGTGTTGTTATTTTATGTTTTTACTGTTTATTTTATGTTTCAGGAAGCCCTGCAATTGTGTAAAGGGGATTGAAAGGGAATGGGAGGGGTGTGGGTGATCCCACCCCATCCTTCTGCTCCTAATTAAGCTGTGGAGGTCTTCAGCTTGTCTCCACCTCCTTCATTTTCACCCACATCCTTCCTCTGCTCTCTTTCATTTCCTTGCTGCATCTCTCTTTAGCGCTCCCTTACAACACTACCCTCATTTTTGGTGTATCTTTCCATTCTCCAGCCATCACTCTTGCCACATTTCCTGTTCCAATTCCCAATTCCCAGTCTCAATTCTCTATTTTAACCTTTTAATTACTTCCCTTAGCCATAATCATGGCTGTCCAAGAAAGACGCTTCTAAGTCGGTGTGGGGAAATCCGAGCTTGTCCCGTAGGTTGTAATTACATTCTTAAGGCATTCTGTGGCACAATGATAAAAATAAATACTCTTCCTTTTCTATAAAAGACAATGCCATCCCCTTAGTACAGTGTCCTATAATTGATACAAGGCGGTGCATAACAGTGTGGTTTGCCTGGTAGCAAGGGAAGTTGTAACTAAAATAAAAAATAAAGTTCATTTTGGCACCTTTTTAATTCATGTTTTTATCAAAAATATCAGTTTTGTAGTTTTGTTTACGTTCTCTGAGTATTTCAAAGCTGCACCCTTTTTATTGCAATTCATAGTTTTTGCGTAGTTTAGGTCTACTTTTACTGTGGAAGAGTTGCTCTTAGTTAACAAATGCTGAATAACATTTCTTATTTCTTTAAAATCACTTCAACGTTCTGTTACTGTTACCATCATTTTATTTTATAAATCTATTTTCTTTTATGTTCTCATTGAATCCATTGGAATAAATTTCTACATCTTGACCGTAGTTTGTCATAATCTTGTCAGGCTTTCTCTTGTTAAACTGTCTTGCTTTTGTTTTTCTTTGCATTTTAAAGCATGTGGTGAAGTATATTTTTAAAAGTGCAGTATAATAAAGTTATTATTATCATGGTTGGAAACAAGGGCGTAACCACGCATTCTTTTGAGGGGTCGAGTCCCCCCAAATATTGAGAAAATACCAATCTGTCCCCCACCAATATACAGCAGAAAATATGTAAAATAAATGTTCTCCTTTTACGAACCCTGTCAATGGATTGGTCTCTTGTTATGTCTTATCTTTTTTTTTATTATTTCCGTTTGTTAAGAAAAGCAGTGTGTGAATCCCCCTTCCTAATTGTACACTGATTTCGTTTGAAACCAACTTGCGTTGTCATGGTTACCTATCACTTTTTCGTCAGTCAGTTGAGAGCAAAAAAAGTAACTTGTTGGAGAGGAGATAGAGTAATGGAGGATTTGAGGTTACCTAAAAAGCGAAGAAAACTGGACCAGCAGCCAAGCATACGCGTTTTTTATCAGACAGTAAGTAACTTGATACTGAGTTAAATGTGTAAGCAAATAAAACGAGTAGCCTCGTAAAAGTAGAATATTAAATGATCGATCATGAAGGTCAGTTGCTGTTCTGCTAAAATTGTCGTTACAATGCAGGCAGCACAGAGAGACAAGGAGAGGGACAGGCACGCTGAACTCACCAAAACAAAGTGGACGGGCAGTTACTGTACGGAGAAATTACATGATTCCTTTAGATGTGAATTTCAATGGTCAATGTGGTCCTTGAAACTGTGTTGTAAATGTGCGAATTGTCATATTGTAGGCAATGCACTAAACAAAAACAATATATAGGGAAAGAAAGGCATTTGCACCTCCCCCGATGTCTAAACCATGGTTACACCCTTGGTTAGAAGCCTGGATTAGGCCTAATCCTGGGCTCTAAATGGATGCCATCATCTGAAAGCAAAGTAAGTGTGACATCGACAACCTTTGATGTTTGTTAGCATTAGCTTACCTTTATTTTTAGGAAACTTTGTATGTTGGGGTAAATTGATTTTCCCAACTACTTTGTTGGCACATTTCTTATGTTCTTTTTTTCTGTAGTTTAATTTAGTTTATACTACAATAGAAATATCATTAAAATGATAATGTCATAGACAAAATTGACAAAAACAGCTAATTGAGGCTTGCTAGCCTTTTGACTAGTTTACAAACTTCTTCTAACCTGTTCCCTGTAGTTGAAAAGTCGATTTTGATGCTCCATCTTGATGCTCATTACATCTTAGTAATTGAGTTTGTTATACCACATAAATAATTCACTGGCTATATCAAACCGAATTATAGAAAATAAGTAACACAGGTAGATTAACTATACGCATCTTTAATATCCAAAGTAATACTCTTCAGTCATTTTATCAGCCTTTAATATTTGAGTATCAATCATCAATAAAGAAAACATAGGTATCATTTATGTAAAACCTACTAACCTCCTCTGCATTCATTTGTCAACTTAACAAATCCTGTAGTAAATATACCTTTGTTAAACAACTCTTTGTTACTTGTCAACAACCAGCAGCGTCAGCTAATGTTAATCAAAATTCATAAAACAATGTGCAACTTATCCATAAAGGTTGTAGAATAACACAATGTAGTAGTTCAACCAACCATTTGCAATCTTTCATTTAGTCATTTAGTTCTACAGTAAGTGGGAATAAATAAAATGAGTTAAAATATTTCAAAACGCTTCATTGTATTTAAGTTTCGGTATCCAACGTAGACATGTCCTGCTCTCGCTCTCCAGCATCAGAACTGTCAGCATCAGAACTGTCATTGCTGTTTGCAGCTGTGCTTCCCCGCTCCTCCACTGTGCAGGAGATAATAGCCTTAAGTCCTGCACTGCAATTGAATCAGAGCTGGCCTCACAACCACCACAGCTGCTCTCATTACAGCGCAAAGAGGGAGAGGGGCTCAGATGGGTTGGAGGAGTGTGCGTATGTGTGTCTGTGTGTGTATGTACACACAGGCTAATAAGCTTAGCATTAAATGTGAAGACAGATCTACCGCGCGCACATGCACACACACATGAAATAGAGGCAAAATGAGGCTGACAGAAACAGAAACAGAGAAGCTGAAATTAAATAGAGAAAGAATGCATTAACCAATTAATAAAACTACACACACACAAACACAAGCCGTTGAGTGCCACTGTTTGGTCTAAGGCTGAGGTTGGGTGAAGCAATGCGCCCCACCAAGATGGCTCTTGTTATTTCCCTGTATAACCAAATAATCCTCGGGATGTTATCACAAAGTTGGATGTTCCACAAAAGAAAAAGAGGCCAAAACATGACAACACATGGACGTTTGAAAGCACACTCAGAGATGAATAAGTGTTGCAAACTACAATATAATATTAATTGGCTTCATTGAAAAAGACTCATCCTGTATTTTGGTCAATCTAGCGCAGCGCCTGTTCAGTGAGTGCAAAGGCGCGCTACAGATTTCTCAAATAACCCTCATTCAATGTTGTCTCCAAGTGAAGAAGAGTTTGGTGGCAATGTTTATAATTGTAGTATACCAGTAGTATATTCTTTCGGCTCTTAAACACCATTAGAAGTCTAACTTACTTCTTCCTCTGCAATCCAACCATCTACCTTGTGGCTACACCTCAGCTGTGTCTGAGCTACAACTAAAGCTACCAGATAGCAAATTATAGTGAGAAGCTTAAAGTTATATGCTGGACGTCAGAAACGGGATCTTTGGAATTTTGGGGCTGAGCGGCAGCTTGTCCCGTCACACTGTGAAATCCCATTAGCCCCGCGGCTAAGGGAGAAGAAGGGAGAGCTTTGAATAGGATCACTTTAAATGACATCCAATATCTTTAGCCTCAATTACTATTGGTCATTATTATCATATTTCAATAACTATAGCAGAAGCGACATATGACTCCTCTTTTTAAGATAATAATGAAAGGATACGTTTTAATACTGTTGTCACTGTTGTTGGGAGCGGCTAGGGGGTCGTATTATGTTACTAGCAAATGAGGAACTAAATTATGGACATTAATAGAATTATTAATAATCACTAAGATACTTCTTCAGAATAAATAAATAACGGGGCACCACCCTGAGCTAACAGGGACCAATAACCAATACTATAAATCAAGTCTCATAATTGATATCCACTCCTTGAAAGTGAAGATGTTGGAAGGATTTAAGTTCGAGCACTGGCAATGTATGTCAACTGTCACCACGATATAAATGCACAAGTAAACACAGGAAAACAGTTCTTTAAAGTATAACAGGGTTTATTAACTCAAAGAACTACTGATCAAGATCACCTATAACTGCAATCAACAATCCCCATAACACTTATTTTAAACCTACTCACTAAACAAACAATCAAAACCAGAGTGTGTATGTGTGTGTGTGTGTGAGCACAAAGGGAGGTGCGAGAGGGAGAGACGAGGGGGGTGCTAGGAAGGAACGGCGGTGGGGCTGCGCGCAACAACAAGCGGAGTGCCGATTATCACACTAGGGGGCGAGCGAGAGCAGCGCGGCGGAAGTGAGACCATTAAATCAAACCACCGAGGAAGACGGGAATGCTAGGCAGTCTAATACGACTACTCTACGCGAGGGGCGAGCGGGAGCGAAATGCAGGGAAGTGTTCCACGTAATTAAACAACGAGGAAGACAATAATTGCACTGCTATGGCAACGCAATCTGTTGCTAGGGACCACGGCTTGGAAAAAGGGGGGGGGGAATACGAGATTCTGACCCGCGACCAGCGGAACGTAGATCAGCAATGTGAATCATTATGGTCGGACTTATG